ATTTTTCTAACGTGTAAAACCTTTAACCCTAAAGCTTTATGTGTATTTTTATACACCTTAAATTCCAAATCCTATTCCAACTAATATTATGAATTAAAATAATAACCTTTAAATAATTTATATCTATAAACATATATTATATATAAATATATATTCCTTCCATAATTAACTCATTAGTTAATTAAATCATATATACTTATAAATATCAATAAATATATATCTATATATATATCTTTCCATAACAATTATTAATTAATTATATATATATATATATATATATATATATATATATATATAATTGATACAAAAGTGATCATTTAAATAATTAAATAACCACGGACCTTCATTAATTAACCCAATAAGGTTTCATACAAGCCCAAGACCACATCTTTTGGTCCAACTTTCCTTAAGCCCAATCCAATTAATTTAAATAAATAAGATAATTAATTAAATACAGAAATTAAAATAACTAATTACATGAAGCACATAAACAAACAAGAATTTACAACTAAGTCATATAATACCAATAAAATCAACACACCAATAATTCAATCAATAATCAACCACACAAACAATCAATCATCATACATAATCACGAAATATAACTTAATTAAAATAAGATAATTAATCTAGCACTCAATAAAATAAAATAAATCATTGAAAAATAAAATAAAATAATTAATCCTAATTAATAAATCTTTTAAAATTATCGGGGTATTACAGTGTGGGACCACCATCCGAACTCATCTACTCTTACGATCCAGTTCAGGGTAGAAGTTTTATGCATTACTTCAGTTTCAGTTTTTATTTACTTTTGACGTTGAACTCTCAGGTCTATTCAGGAATCCTTGACATAGGATTTCCAAGTTGTAATGGAGTACTATATTAAATAAAGGATGGATGGATGTTGTATTATTTAGGGTTCCTTTCTTGTCTAAATTCTTTTATTATTATCATTTTGTATTCCATGCTTGTATATTGCCAATTGTTTTTGATATCCCTCGTTTTTCGTGTATAAGCCTGATCAACTTATGCGTGAAAAATGTTGGGGGTGTTACAGTCGTTCTTCTTTTATTGGCGTACCTGAATGACCTTTCAGAGAGTAAGCAATTGAAAAGCGCAAAGATGACAAGGCAAGGCGTTAGCGAAGCGTCCTCATTAAAGCCCGATTTGCATCATTATGCTTAATAAAGGAATGAGGGAAGCTCCAATAGAAAAATATTAGAAGGGAAAAATACTTTGAAGATGAACCTATTCCCACGCAATAGATGCAGGACTTGTTGTCACGATCCGATTCCTAACGACACCATGAGCATAGAAGACACGCATGCTGGTTGGCTTAGAACATTCATTGACTGGGAATGGTTCCAGGGAAGGGGCGTGCAGGACCACAGGATGGTACCTCTTCAGAGTTCAGGCAGGTCGACTCGGTTCAGTTCGAGGTACTTGTCGCTAGTCTTGGACTTGATTATGAAGAAGGGAGTTGGCTATCCCTGCACAAACTGGTCGGGAGCTGGAGCCGTTCCCCTGACGAGGCCATGACAGGCCGAAACCAGTCAGCATGTATCCTTGGGAGGGCAGGTCGTGGTGGCTGACCAGGGCGCTTGCGCGAGCTGAAACAACGCCTTGGTGCCGCACGGGCCGTGCCGCTTCGACAAATTTCTAGGTCTGTGACAAATGGTATCAGAGCAGGACTTGGGGAAAAGCACAGAGGTGTTCCCCCTTGTCGATCCGGGGGTCTTGAGAATGAAGTGGGTGCACTAAAGCGTCGGTGGGCAATCAATGCTGTTGGAGAAAAGATTCCATCTCCCCATGAAGACGTGTCCTTTGAAGCCGGAGGGCCGCGCGCACCAAAGTTCTTGCAAGTTCAAGAGGCGCGCAAACCGTTGTGAAGGGGGGGTATCAAGTCAGCCGGAGGGCGCTTGTTTGCTCGGGGTGTCGTGGAGGCGGCATAACGTGGGGTTGCGTCCCGAAGAAGTGGGCGTCCCTTTAGCTCGAAACCCAATCATTGGGCGAGTGCAGCCAGGGGTTGTACAAGGAAACGATGGTGGGCAGGCGAGCATACCACTTGGAGGAGAGAGACTTTGGAATGTTGGACGCAGCTGAGTCAGCGCCGCACTGCGACGAGGGCGTCGCAGGATTTGGGTGGGGGAGAATGTCACGATTCGATTCCTAATGACGCCATGAGCATAGAAGACACGCATACTAGTTGGCTAAGAACATTCATTGACTGGGAATGGTTCCAGGGAAGGGGCGTGCAGGACTACAAGATGGTACCTCTTCAGAGTTCAGGCAGGTCGACTAGGTTCAGTTCGAGGTGCTTGTCGCTAGTCGTGGACTTGACTATGAAGAAGGGAGTTGGCCATCCCTGCAAAAACTGGTCGGGAGCTGGAGCCGTGCCCCTGATGAGGCCATGGCAGGTCGAAACCAGTCAGCATGTATCCTTGGGAGGGCAGGTCGTGGTGGCTGACCAGGGCGCTTGCGCGAGCTGAAGCAACGCCTTGGTGCCGCACGGGCCGTGCCGCTGACCAATCACAGTCCATTTGAGGTTGTTACCGGACGGCAGCCTATGACCCCCAACGCCATTACTTCGACTTGAGATGGAAAGAGTCCGGCGGCCTACAAATTTGCCAAGAGGTGGCATGAGCAGTCTGACTTGGCTAGGGCGTACCGTGACAAGGCGGCAAAGAAGATGAAGAAGTGGGCCGACACCAAGCGAAGGCGGGTGGAGTACATAGTGGGAGACCAGGTGATGGTTAAGCTACTACCCCAACAGTTTAAGTCCTTCTGGAGCGTGCATAAGGGGCTAGTAATGAGGTACGAGGGCCCGTTCCCCATCGTCAAGCGGGTGGGCAAGGTCTCTTACATGGTGGAGCTTCCACCCAAGTAGAAAATACATTCAGTCTTCCATGTCAGCATGCTCAAGCCTTATCATGAAGACATGGAAAACCTTACTCGGGGCATATCGCATAGGGCACCCACAGCCGTTGTCACATCCTTTGATAAGGAAGTTGATTGCATCCTTGCAGATCGTGTGATGAGCAGGAGAGGTGTGCCCAAATATACAGAGTATTTAGTGAAGTGGAAGAACTTGCCAGATAGTGAGGCGAGCTGGGAGCACGAGGATACACTATGGCAGTTCGCAGAGCATATCCAGCGGTTCAAACAAGAAGACGCGACGAGGGCGTCGCGAGCTTAGGTGGGGGAGAATGTCACACCCCGCTACCAAGAGGCTATGCCACGCAGGCGCCATGCAGACGCCTAGCAGACGATGACATAGAGCTTGCATGGACTGGAGCTTTCTAGACTTCTCTACACAAGTATGGAACTTTCCGGAATTCTCTTGATTAGTGTGGAGTTGTCTAGCCTTTTCTAGACTTGTCTAGAGTTATATAGAATTCTCTAGAATTCTCTAGACTTGTCTTGTACATAGTAGATAGTTCTAGAGTTGTGTAGATATTTCTGGAGGATTCTAGACACTAAATCTAGGCCACACATTTGTACATATCTAGAATGTTCTTGTAAGGCCAAAGGCCTATAAATAGGAGGTGAGAGTTCATGTGCTCCTCACCAAGCAACCAAGTTATAATCTCTTCTCTCAAACAATACAAGTTCTATACATTTCCAAACTCTCTTGCTCACTTGCCTAACCTTTTCTTACATACCCAAGTAAGCAAAACACTTGTCTAGCCTTAGTCTTCACTAAGCTAGCACACTTGGGTAGGCTGATTTAGCGTTTCAAGGGGGCTTGAAAGTGTCTAAGGCCGCACGGGAGCTTGAAAAGGTTCAAGTCCGTGACAAATGGTATCAGAGCAGGACTTGGGGAAAAGCACAGAGGTGTGCCCCCTTGTCGATCCGGGGGTCTTAAGAATGAAGTGGGTGCACTAAAGCGTCGGTGGGCAATCAATACTGTTGGAGGAAAGCCTCCATCTCCCCATGAAGACGCGTCCTTTGAAGCCGGAGGGCTGCCCGCACCAAAGTTCTTACAAGTTCAAGAGGCGTGCAAACCGTTGTGAATGGCGGGTATTAAGTCAGCCGGAGGGCGCTTGTTTGCTCGGGGTGTCGCGGAGGCGGCATAACGTGGGGTTGCGTCCCGAAGAAGTGGGCGTCCCTTTAGCCCGAAACCCTATCATTGGGCGAGTGCAGCCAGGGGTTGTACAAGGAAGCTATGGCGGGCAGGCGAGCATACCACTTGGAGGAGAGAGACTTTGGAATGTTGGACGCAGCGGAGTCAGCGCCGCACTGCGACGAGGGCGTCGCAGGATTTGGGTAGGGGAGTATGTCACGATCCAATTCCTAACGACGCCATGAGCATAGAAGACACGCATGCTGGTTGGCTAAGAACATTCATTGACTGGGAATGGTTCCAGGGAAGGGGCGTGCAGGACCACAGGATAGTACCTCTTTAGAGTTCAAGCAGGTTGACTCGGTTCAGTTCGATGTGCTTGTCGCTAGTCGTGGACTTGACTATGAAGAAGGGAGTTGGCCATCCCTGCACAAACTGGTCGGGAGCTGGAGCCGTTCCCCTGACGAGACCATGGCAGGCCGAAACCAGTCAGCATGTATCCTTGGGAGGGCAGGTCGTGGTGGCTGACCAGGGCGCTTGCGCGAGCTGAAGCAATGCCTTGGTGCCCCACTGGCCGTGCCGTTGCGCTAAATCTCTAGGCCCGTGACATTGTGCTCTCCTCACAACTCACAAGCAAGTGCTTCAGGGCTTCAGGGAAGGGAAGGCAAAGAAGGGAGAATGTGAGAAATACTCGGTAAGGTTAAAATTATCCTTTCCTTTTCTTCATAACTAATGTTATCTTTCCCTTTCAAACCCACCCCACTAGACATACCCTAAGTTATATATACCAGTGCTATTCTTTTTATTTTGCTTATGCATAGTACAAAATTACATTACAAGTTTTTATTTTTTCGGAAAGTTTTGAATTTCAGTGTTGTTTATTTTATTATTTTCTTCTTTTTATTTTTTTATTTTTATCAAAAGAATATTATTCTTTCTCAAACGCAGCCTAAGAATTGGGGCCAAGACACAGAGAGCAAATGGATTTGGTTTGAATGTGCGAGGGTTTGTTTCTCCATCTCCTTCCCCGTCTCCAAACATCCGTCTACAGAGGAAAGAGAGAGAGTAGAAATGGCGGCTATTACTGCTTCTTCTTCAAGAACCTTTCTCCTTAGTGCCACTCAAAGACTCTCTTCCTTCTTCTACTTGACTCCCTCTTGGAGACCACACTCCTTTCCCCTTCTCAACCCCAATAAACCATTCTCACTATCACTCTACTCTTCTTCTTCTTCAATCAATTGTGCTCAGGAAACCCTAGCTACCCAAGAACCACTAGAATCCTCTTCAATTCTCCGTCGCCCCAATTTAGTTGACATACTTCAAGAAAGGGGTTTGCTTGAATCCCTCACCGGCGACAATCTCCGGTCCGTTTGCTCCGACCCGTCTCTCCCTCCCCTTCGGGTATACTGCGGTTTTGACCCCACTGCCGAGAGCTTGCACCTCGGCAACCTCCTCGGCATCATTGTCCTCTCCTGGTTCCTCCGTTGCGGCCACAACGCCGTCGCCCTCATCGGCGGTGCCACCGCCCGCATAGGCGACCCCTCTGGCAAGTCCCTCGAGAGGCCCGAACTCGACATCCCTACACTAAACAAAAACACCGCCGGAATCGCCAACATCGTCCGCCGGATTCTCGGTCAAAACACTGCCGAACGAGGTGGCGCTAATTCATTCGAGATCTTGAACAATTACGATTGGTGGAAAGACGTAAAGCTTCTTGATTTTCTGAGGCAGGTTGGGAGATTTGCTAGGGTTGGGACGATGATGTCCAAAGAGAGTGTGAAGAAAAGATTGGAATCAGAACAGGGTATGAGCTACACTGAATTCACATACCAGTTATTGCAGGGTTATGATTTTCTATACCTGTTCGAGAAAGAAGGTGTGAGTGTTCAGATTGGTGGAAGTGATCAATGGGGTAATATAACTGCTGGCACAGACCTAATTCGCAAGATTTTGCAGGCTGATGGAGCCTATGGCTTGACCTTCCCTCTCCTCCTCAAGAGTGATGGTACCAAATTCGGGAAATCTGAGGAAGGAGCAATCTGGCTCTCGCCGGCAATGTTGTCCCCTTACAAGTTTTATCAGTACTTCTTCTCTGTCCCGGATGACGATGTTGTGAGGTTCCTCAAGACTCTTACTTTTTTGAGCATGGAGGAGATTGGTGAGTTGGAGATGGAAATGCAGCGACCTGACTATGTGCCCAATACAGCTCAGAGGAGGCTGGCGGAGGAAGTGACCCGATTCGTCCACGGTGAAGAAGGATTGGAGGAGGCATTGAAGGCGACTGAAGCTTTGAGACCCGGAGCCGAGACCAGGTTGGATTGGAAAACCATTGAGGGGATCGCTGAGGATGTTCCTTCTTGTTCTATGCCTTATGATCAGGTTTTGAACCTTTCTCTAGTTGATCTTTCGGTTTCTACTGGATTGCTAGAGAGTAAATCGGCTGCTCGTCGCCTGTTGAAGCAAGGGGGACTCTACCTGAATAACAGTAGAGTGGATGGTGAAGGCAAGAAAATTGAGGCTGAAGACATTGTGGATGGGAAAATTCTACTGTTATCTGCGGGCAAGAAGAACAAAATGGTTGTAAGAATATCTTGATTGTTCTTATTGATTGCTGATTATTTTATTTATGCATATAAAATTTTTCCTTGTTTTCTTTTAAATTTAATAATGCCAATTGCTTCTGTAGTTCCGTGATACAAAGTTTGAATTAATACTTTATCATGCGAAACCTTTTGCTTCTAGTTTCTGCATCCCTATGCTGTGAAAGCATTTTATATATGAATTAGACTCAAGTGAAATAACCACTCAGTTTCGCACTTTTTCTCATTTAATTCTTTCTCCTATCATTAGAATTGGGTGAGAAAGGTACATTCCTTTTCTTTTTGGAAATTATATTATAGGTTAAGCACTAAAATAGTTGTGGAACCAAAGGGAAAAAAATGGGAAAATTTTTAATTCTTCCTTTCTATTTTCCTTTTAAATTGTTATTACTTCTTTTTTTATATATTTATTTTTGGGGTTGGGGTCCTAGGGAGGGGGGCTTGGACTTGTGGGAAGTGTTAATGCTGATGGTCAATTATAGAGAAAGGGTTAAGACATTTGGTGGAGCTGCCATTTCAAGTTCAGCTGAGTTAAACTATAACCAGTTTAGCTCAGTTCACTTCAGGTGATTATAGTTTGCTTAACCACACTGGCTTCGTTTTTATTGACTTCAGGAGTCAGGAGGAGCCAATAATTTTTAGTGGGTTCCTGGTGCTTTTCTGCTTGATAGTACATGATCAGTTTATTCTTAGTTGAACTTCAAAAGTAGTTAAATTTATAAACAGAAAATTACATACAATGTTTTAAAAAAAAAATCAACATTCATTAATGAAATGAGCTTAAGAAGAAGAATTAGCTGCAGATCAAAAAAGAAGAAGAATTAACTGCAAGATGAATAGAGGCGAAGAAACTAGAGAGAGAACTAGAGGAATAACTTGAAGAAGAACATGTAGAGATCTACAACCTCACTGAAAAGAGGGGTGAGAAGCGAGAAAGTGAGAGAGAATAAACTTAGAGAATTTCACGCTGGAGGAGAGAGTGGCAAAGTAGCACTTCTTGCTGGTGGAGGAGCTCGCCGTGAACTGTAGAGGAGATCGACAGATCTGCAGGAATAGCTCGCTGGTAGAGAGAGAGGATGGACTTAGGGTTTGTGAAGAAGATTGCGGTTGTTGTTAGACAGAGAAGAACAAAATGGTTGCTACAGTGTATTTTTACTTAGCACTACAGTATAACCTCTCCCGCTGCCCCGCATCCACTACAGTACTTTCCTAAACATAAACAAAATAAATATTAACAAACTTGTTTTTTCTTTTAAATCTGTATAAATAAACTATATTCTTAAAAATGCTGAGGCAGTTCTAATTAGAAAAATGCTGATGCAGCATTAGAATAAACCAGCAGATTCATATTCTTGTGATCAATAGTGACAGATGTGTCTCATGGCAGCTCCAACAATTCGTTGGGTTGTTATGTATTCTTTGCAATGCTAAGATATTTAGGAATATCATGAAGATGACATTCATGTTGTATACACGGGTTAATCGAATCAGGTACCATGAGTCATTGCCTTTTATGTTAGTTTCGCCCTCAAGATCTTATCTAAGGTGTGATGTTGGATAAACAAGTTTTATATACTGTGAGCCATTTTTATGAGAAATATTCTAAGCTTGAAGATAACTAAGGAAAATGCACTTTAATATCTCATATTGGTATCAACAGTTTTTGCAATTGTAATTCCTACTAACTGCTGCAACTGGTGGATCCATTCTGGCCTAACAGAAACTGTTTGACATATGGGACCGAGCCAGCCCAGAAGGAAACTTTTGTTGTCTAGAAATACATTTATATATATAAATTTGTTACAATCAATGACGGTATAGTATTAGAGGCTATAAGTTAGTTTGGTCTCCTTTATTTGAGGTGCTGGGAAGAGTAGGTTTTATATAGACCTAACTTTGGCATTACTGATACAAAGTGGTTGCCCTTGTACTCAAAGTTGCGTAATATTGTGGTAATATGTATTATTATCATGTGTGGTTACTTAAATATAATATGATTGAAATAGATAATGATTTGACACCATGGTAATGTCATCAGGTTGCGAAAACTGCGTAAATGTCTAGTGTCAAACCCTGCTCCAAATGTATAGCTGAAAAAAATTGAGTTTTTCCAGCTTATTTAGGCCTCCCGCACTAGGCTGGCTGTGCAGCCGGTGGTCCGCCATAAAACCTTTTCAACTTACTTCCCATACCTGTTTGTTTTTTCAGTCAGAAACTTTTTTTTGCCCCAGAAAGTTTAGTACTCAGAAACTTGTAATGTAATAGCAGTAATGTTATTTTTTTACAGATCTATTTAGCATTTGTTTCTTTCAGGACAACGTTTCTGTTACTCTTTTTTGATTGGATTGCATAATCATTCTACTAGCTGTAAGTCGGTGTTCAGAAAATGAGAATCTGGACATAGCTGAAGTACTTTTTGCATACAGTGATTGTATTTTGGTTGCGAGGATGATTTCACTCTGTATGCAGTATATACTAGATGCAAGAAGTTGCATAATATGAAATTGGTCTATTGATACAGAAGGTTGAAAGAACAACTGCATGGTCGTAAAACACTAGGTGCTATTTTTTACTTTTGGTTCGAGAATCATAATCACTTCACCATACAATATATATCAGGTTACGCGCGTATATATTTTTATTTTTCATTTGCTTGCTAAAAAAAAAAATGAAAGCCTCATAAGAGTGAAACCAAAAGAACAAACTGAAAGCTAGTGAGAATTGGTCAATACATGAACAATTAAGACTAGTATAAACTGATGGATAACAAAGGAAAGTGTGATATATATTGGATCATTTTAAAGGAAATTTGAAATTTTTTTTTGATAAATACTGCATCCCCTTTATGGAACACCTAAGGAGAGTTAATTCTGTTGTTTGATGGAAGGTACATTTTGGAGTTGGTACAGATCCACTTCTTCTGTTTTCGCACCACTTGAGCCTTGGTGCCTGTTGTATGGTTTATAATTTCCAGAGGGTGGTGAGACCAATCTTCAACAATGTGCTCATCCAAATAATAGGGATACCTCCTCCTCCACATCCACTCCTCTGCCAAGAATTAAGGGAAACTTCTGCCAGAGTAAATCAGTTTCCTTCCAACAAAACACTTGGACTGAAGTAGAGGATGATCCTTGGGAGGCACTATTGAGTTTCGGGTTTCGGCCAATTTCTATTGCATAAAAAATAAAGGGGTTGAGATAGTTAGGGAATATATGATAGCATATGGTTTAAGTGAAATTATGCCGTGGATGTAGCGGAATGACAGAATAGGATTCGGCGTAATTGACACCAAATAGTTGGGAAAAGTCTTTGTTAAGTTTGAGTATATTGGTATTGAAGCAGTACAACTTTCTGTTGGAAAAGGCACAGGGGAAGGTATAGCATAGATGCCTCAGGTTTCCATCTATCACATTTGGTATAGGTATAGTTCCCGAATTATGTCCATCCATAAATCTAGATCTGCAAGCACCCAATATGGCATATAAACACTGACGTTTTTCAAATCCAAGCAACCCAGTGGAATAGGTTTACTTCGATTAACTTTGAACAGGTTTAAATTATTCAAGACCCAAATCTCCAAGAAAACTACAGTCCTCGAAAATGGTTTATATTACTTCCAGTTTCTTAAACCTGAGGACTGGCATTTCCATGTTTGGATGGATAAATTTAGACGCAAGTATAGAGTAAATCAACGAATTCTGCTAGTTGACACTCTAGTAGTTATCATGGTAGAGCAAGAAACTGTTTGCTCTCTGTTGTCAAAGAAAATGTCTAAAACTGAGAAAGCAAGGACTAATGATACTCCTTTCAAGTTGTTATTCACGACTTCTTCTCTCTGCAGTCAACAATAGCTATATAATGCCAGATCCTCACAAGGTCAACCATTTCCCCTCCCAATATCTCACGTTTGCCTTAATTTTATACTCTGCAAACAACAAATAGAAAATAATATAATTTCTCTGCAGATTAAAATTTCAAAGGAAATAATGTCACGATAAACAGAGTAGAAAAATCGACCATACCAACATCTAGCATACTACAAAAAATTGCACTTTACACGGAGATTTCCTTTCATATTTAACTTAGTTTAGAACAATTTTGCAAATCCTATAAGATGTAAACAGTGGTGTTGAGAATTACCTGTAACATTCTTTCCGAAGAATCCTTTCCCCCGAAATTGAAGTGTTGGTAGTTCTCTTCATCTTCATGACATTGGATCCACATGCGGGGCTGCTCTGAGATTGCAACCCTGTCTGTGTATTTGGAAATGCGGGTTTGATTGTAAACCCTTTGAGCAAGAATTCTCTTTCCTATGCCTTCCATACCAAAACCAGAAACAACCTGGCTGAAATCTGCAATCGATTCGCGTAAATCTGCCTTCAACCCCAATGGTATCCTCTTCATCATATCCAACATCTTTAATCCCCAAAACTCAATTGTGAATGCTCTCATCAATGTCTTCTGAGAAGCAAAGCATGCCCTTTTAGCTCAATGGATATGAGAACATTGAAAAAAACCAAGATCAATTGGTAGTGTCTCAGGTCTGCTGCATAGCTGTTGTTGAGTTTGTCTTCCCTCTATATATTTCATTTTTGGTCAACCTTTGTGAGATTTCTATAGAGCCAGCTGTTAATTCCAAGTTGCAGAATATGATACTTAAAAAAAAAAAAAAACCAGCTGGCATCATTGTTGAAGTAAGAGTGTGAAGATGACTTTAGGAGACAGATGCCTTGGGATCACACAAATCATGGCTCAATATGTCAAGAATGGCTGCTGTTGGGGTCCCAATCCATCAAGGAAAGAATTGTCCCCTTTCTTTCCACTTTTTACTTTTCAACAAGGGATTTGGGGGAGATATATGTAACAAATTTTAAATAATTAGGCTCCCACATGTATTATATCTGTGTTTGTTAGAATTGGAATTATCCAAATGCTTAAAGTATAGAGAAATCAATTATTAACATCATTATTATCTTAATCCCATATAAAAAATGGGATATGCTCATTCGTTTTGTTATAGTTTTCTATACCATATTGTCTTTTGTGCACCTCAGTTATCCTTGATTCTGAAAGAAAAGTTCGGATTTATTTAATTTTTTTTTAGAACAATCATTTATGGAATAGGATTGATGGAATTGATGTCTATTCTCACTTAATTAGTTGTGATTCCCCATTAGACTTGGCAATGCAGTGGAAAGTGAGAGAATACGGGACCCTCTTCTATGTGTTCCTGCATATCATGGAATACAAAATTATTTCATATTAGATCACTATGTGACATGTACACATAATTTATGAGTATTTGTTTGAAATTTTTGCACGCATGCTTAAAATTTGTTTAAAAAAAAAAAACCCTAAAATCTTATAATATATATATATATATATATATATATATATATATATATATATATATCTATCTCACTGTGTACTTCCATCAGTACACTTGCAATTGTTACTTCATTCCTTCACTCACTAATATAGACATTGATTTTCTGAGATTTCTAACATGAGGAATATTGCCATGTGAAATTACAGATACGAGGACTTCACGAGTATTGAGCAGAATGTGGAGATATAACATACATGAATTTTACAGGTACAAGGACTCATGCACTCAACAAATTAAGAAACTAGTAGTGACAATGTAGACTTGACACATCTTCAAAGCTACTTATAACTTTTATGAAGATCAAGATCTTCAAAACCAGACTGCTCCTCAAACTAAAACAACTCAAAATACACTACCAAAGATCAAACAGCTAGTAAACTTGCTGCCAACTTAACCTAAGAAGATAAGCGCATGAGTGAACGAACACACTCCTAACCAGAGTTCTCAGACATGAAAGTTTCAATAATTCTGAGCACTCCATCCGCGTCTTCCGAGAAGGGTTCATTTGTGAAGAAACCATGTTGCTTCCCTTCGAATACAACGTATTCGACTTTCTTCCCCAGCTCTTTCAACCTTCTTGCATAGTCCTCTGCCCTGTCTTTCAGCAATTCACTGCCTCCTACAACCACCAAAATGGGGTCAAGTGCCACTGCTTCAAGACTTGGACTCTGAGGCCCAAAGGGGTTTGCCAATGGGTGGTCTGCTGTACCTCCATTTGGTAGTGACAGCCTCCAAAACCTGTTGTAAGTTAAACACAACACAGAGAGTAGTGTCCAAATGTCACACAACCAACAAAGTGAAACATAGTCTAATATCATCTTAACAAGAAATCATGTTCAAGAAGAAGGATGAGAAGAAATAAGAAAAGGCCATGTGTTTTATGAATCAACCCGGATCCAATCCTGTGCCACTTTATCATTCAGTGCCACTGTCTTCAACTATTATATAATATATGAAACTTTACATTACTTTCGCAACAATTACATTACATTACATACAAAATAATTTTTTTATATATGTCTGTTACACTAACAATCTACACACAGCACAAACACATAATCCCATCTATAAGAAAAGGTAATACTTTTACTTTTATGTGTACGAGAACCTAAAAAAGAGGTAAATAAAAAAAAAAATACTAAATATGATAGTCAAGATGTTTTGTTCATATAATATATTCTAGTTAACAGATTAGTCCAAATTCCATCAAGATTGAACCATTCAACCATCTACAGGACTAATTAAACCCTATCCCTAGATAAATTTCATATATTTAGTTGGACTATTTATGCTGACCCTAAAATTAGCTAGTTTCTAGATGATAATGTATTTGCTTTCCCATTCGTCATGATGATATAATTGGATAAGGACAGGGTCATGTTATTATTGGATCAACCACCAACTTCTAATCCAATATTACTAGGAAAAAAAAAATTGTAAAATAAAATATCTGGGCGCATGGGGACATGGCCTACCAAATCATCGAAACGAGGAATTCAATGGATCACGAGTATGGTACTGTTGTCATGTGTTATGTTGAGAGAATAATTTATCAATTATTGGTGGATTTTAGTCACGGCCGAGAATGGACTTTTGCTGTTGATTCGACACCCATTTTGCGGCTCTAAATTTCTAATCCAAAGTTTTAGTGGCAACCCCAATTTAAAGAGTAGATAAGAATATAAATTGGTTTAATTTAGTATTTTTTACTAATATTGATTTGGTGGGTGTCATGTGGTGACCCTTATTTCCTTCTTGCTAGCCGCCTGTTTGGTGGAAAATTGTTGCAGGTTGCAACCATTTTCAACATTACCCTTTTGACCAAATTACTCTATACCACACATGCATACAAAGTCAAATTCAGAAATTATTAATGTGGTGGGCTAACATTTTTTTGGTGGGCTAATAATGGTAATATATATATATATATATATGTGTGTGTGTGGCTGGACTAAAATTAGGTACAGTAAAAAAAAAAAAAAAAAAAAAAATTTGGGCCTTGGATCCGCCGGTGAATGGAGGGGGTTGGGACCTACCTACCACTATGTAATTTAAAATAAATGTGTTAAAAATGAAATGAATGTGATGGTGGTCCATTTTCATTGATTGGTGACCCCCCAAATAAGATCCCATTTCATAAGAAATCCTCAAATCCCTAGACATGAAAGGTGGGAAAAGTCTGAATGAACTTTAGAGGAATGGTATATTCTATAAATAAAATCACATGTCCACTCATTACAAAAAAAAAAAAAAAGAATGACGCTAGATCGATAAGATCAAAAAGTTAACAGACAAATGTGGTTAATTGCTGCTAGTGGGCTCATTCATAGATATTCCATCACACTAAGGTCATGTTCCAACTTCAAGTGGGACGAACATTCTGTTAGTGTTATAGGATCATAGCCACATAATCCTAAAAGCATTCTTCATTGATGGATACATTTTTGTTTTGATCCTCTCTATTTCTTAATCTCTCTCGGGCTTCCTTTAGGTCAAATCCAAACACATGATTGCTATGAGCACCACAAGAAGAATCCAAAACCGGAGGGTTTTACTTCAATCAAAATGTACAAGAATTTGGTCTTATGATCGATCTACTAATATATCTACATTCTACAAGTAAATCAAAATGCACTCAAGGCTTTTAATATTCTATACTAACCCCTCTCTCTACGTTCATTTTTAACAAAGGAGCGACTCTTTATATAGTTACTAGCATGATTTTCTATAGCCAAATCAAAGTGATCAATAAATATACATGAGGCTCACACGCGAACGTGCTTATTAATTAGTCACATATGTCCCACATGTATCACAACTCTACCTTTAGAGCTATGATAGATTTGAGCCATTTAATTAGTCAGATCTGTTCCACTTGTATCACAACTCTACCTTTAGAGTTACCACAACTCTACCTCTAGAGATATGATAGATTTGAGCCAATTAATTAGTCAGATCTATTCCACTTGTATCACAACTCTACCTTTAGAGTTACCATAGATTTGAGCCTATTAATTAGTCAAATCTATTCCACTTGTATCACAACTCTACCTTTGGAGCTATGATAGATTTGAGTCTATTAATAACTCTACCACAACTCTACCTTTGGAGCTGTGATAGATTTGAGTCTATTAATTAGTCAGATATGTTCCACTTGTATCACAACTCTATCTTTGGAGCTATAATAGATTTGAGTTTATTAATTAGTCAGATTTGTTCCACTTGTATCACAACTCTACCTTTAGAGTTACCATAGATTTGAGCCTATTAATTAGTCAAATCTATTCCACTTGTATCACAACTCTACCACAACTCTATCTTTGGAGCTATGATAGATTTGAGTTTATTAATTAGTCGGATTTGTTCCACTTGTATCACAACTCTATCTTTGGAGTTATGATAGATTTGAGCCCACCACCTCTTCATCTTATATTCAAACTAAGGATAGCAATTTGCCCCATGGGGACGGGTACCTGCTCCACCCTGTCCCGTTTATAGCGATTTTGGGGGGCCGATTAGCTTATTTGGGCAAATATAATTTTTATTAGTAAAAACCGCGTAAGTTCGAGACGGAGGGAGGTCACCCCGCCCCGCCTCGTTTAAGTAGGTAAATTACTAAATTACTCTTATTTTATTAGTATATATAGTTAGCTCTAGAAATCATAGATCAGATTCACTCACTTTCTCGATCGTTCTAGAAACCAGCAAAGCCCTATGAACTAAGAATGTTTATACCCTTAAATTTTATTTTAAATTATTTGTTGTTCATTTTTTTATGAATTTCTTCAATAGTTATATAATTGTATTCGTAAAAAAAATTTAAAAAGAGGAAAAATTATGGAACTAAATAAGGCAGGGTAGGTGCCCCCGGGGTAAAAAAGTTAAACGGGGCGGGAATGGGATAGAAAAACCCCATTTAGCTATTTTTGGGTGTAGACGGGACGGGGTTTTCTAATCGGTTGCGGGGACGGGAGAGAGTACATCCGCCCAAAACTGCCCTGCAACCATTCCTAATTTGGACTCTCAATTTCAAAAAAAAAAAAAAATACAATTATTCTTAATTTTTTAATGTATGAAAAATGCTTCTCAAAATGATAGTACTTTGCTAACCACACATAAATACACATTATCAATGAACATTCAATACAGATGATATACTATTTCATTTTAAAATGAAAAGTTAAATGGTTCTGTGTGTTTACTTGAACTTTCGAATTAAAAAAAAAAATATTTGGTTGAATGATGTAATGACATCGTGTGGGCCTAAAATAAAAAGATTTATGGGTCATTTTTCTTTCATTATGTTTAATCTGTTTTGATTATAGTGATTTGAGATTGAGAATAAATAAATAAATAAAAGTAAGAAAACTGTAACTCACCCAATAATCATCGACTCAAATGGTAATGATCTATTCTACCCAAATAAAAGTTTGATTAGGACAATATTGTAGGGTGTGTTTGCTTCAACTTTTAATAAATAATGGGAAAAAAATTAAAAAATTATAACTCACCTGTCAAGGATGTTCAAGTTCAACATTGACTCAGGGGGTCCCTCCTCGGACTTTGTCCGAACGGTCCCACCAAAAAAAGGAGCCGATAGCACATAACCACGTACTCGTAATGGTGCCAACTCATTCGAATCGGACCTTAACTGAACCGCCAAATGATGTGCAATGTTCCCACCCGACGAGTCACCCATTATGAAAACCCGGTCAAAGTCAACAACCCCATCACACAACCATGTATCAGCACCACTTTTAGACACAGCCTGAGACTGAACCCACTTCACAACACAAACTGCATCATCCATGGCCGCCGGAAGCCGATACTCCGGTGCCAGACGGTAGTCCGGAGCAACGACAAGGGCTCGAAGCCCGGAAGAGAGACGAAGGCAACAGTTATGACAGTTGGGCCAGGTTCGCGAGCCGACACAGAAGCCACCACCATGAATGAAGAACACAATTGGGAGCTTGGTGGTGGTGGAAGTGGGCTGGGCCACCACCGGCTTGTAGAGGCGGAGATAGAGGCCGTGTTTTTTGTCATAGAGACAGTCTTTCCATAGGACAGAGCCATCGTCGTGGTCCGGAATGTTGAATTCTATGTCACCCGGCCGGACAATGGAACCATCACTATAGACTTGGAGGATACCTAGACAGTCTTCTACTATCTGAGGAAGGGAACCCATCTCTTTCTCTATCTCTCTATATATATATTTGTGTGTGTGTGTGGAATATGTGTTGTTGATAGGAGAGATGACTAGAAATGAAGCGCGCAAATGAGGTATATATAGGCAAGAATTGATAGTGGAGTAGTAAGAGAGATAGAGATATTAATTAATGGTATGACACGTATGAAGGATATAAATGTCATTTAAGTGGATAGTAGTGAACATGTTCCCATATGCATTCACGTCCACTGGTTTATCTTTCTCTATCCTGCATTTGTAAAAGGAGCTTTGTTTGGGTGGAGTTTGGGTACAAGGTAACATTATGAGCTAATGATCATAGGAATAACTAGGATTATAAATGCGTGTCTCTTTCTCTTCGATGTGCAAATTATTTAGTATTCTATTTTGTTACACAAGTTTACTGAGTCTGGAAAGTAACACCCAGCGTGGTAGATAAAATTGAAGGATCGATTAAGACCAAAACTTAAATAACACCTCCTCCATCAAAATCTTTAGAAATTCCTTTTTCTCTAACATATTATATATAAATTTAGCAGACTATTTTGTTACACAATTTAGTTTAATAAGCCTAAAAGATATCACCATCTGTGAGGCGGCTAGATTCAATTGGACGCGTAAATACCCAAAATTTTAAACAAGTCCTCCAACATCAAAATCTTTATTATCACATTTAGCATGCCTTTTATATATGTGTGTGTGTGTGCGTGTGCGTGTGTGTTTTTTTTTGGGTACAAAGTTCACCTCCGCCATTTGTTGAACCGGAGATATCAAGGAATGATATGGAATTGGATTTGGTTCGTACTTCATTGCCTCCATCAATCTTTCGTCTTATGGAGCTTGATGTGCTGGTAGTGTTTGCTAGTGTTTGTTCTTCCTTTTTCTTGTTGTTGCGAGGGAAAAAAAAAAACAAAAAAAAAAAAATTTGTTGAACCGGAGATATCAAGCCATTGATGGTACCAAGTGTGAACATATTCAGGTTCCACTTCAGACCATCTAGGTCTCTTCGATTTAACAAGAACAACATTGCTCAGTATTATTATATAATGTTTATTTATAAATATGCTCATAAAAATTAAAGAGACTATACATTAAAGAAAAAAATTATAATGTAAAAATAATAATTAGTTGAAAAAAAAACATAACAGAAAGAAGAAAACGTTGGCAGTAGTTATTTTTTTCCAAATGAACATTAAAGACTGTGGATTGCCTAAGTGGCTTAAGTTTTAAGCAGCCCCTGGTGTTATCTTTTACTTGTTAAGTTGTCCAAAATTCCAAAATTAGGAGCGCATTCATTTTATCGTCACTTTCATATATAGTTGTTTAATGTATAGAAGTAAAATTTTCAATAGCTTAATTCGAGGACCGTAAATAAAAGATATATATATAAAAAACTACTTTTCCACACAGACCACACCAAATGAGATTAAGATGGTTTAATTAACACATTTAAGTAACCAACAAGTCACCAACTGACCGGGACACTTAAATTTTTATTTTTATAGCATATTACATATTACATATTATATTTGATCCTAAGAGATAGAATTCACCATATTTAATATTCAATTAAATTGAATAATTCAAAGTATTGTCAAATTATCAAATCATTGAATTATCAAATAAAATATTAAATTCATATTAAAATTACTCAATCGAATTCGGATCAAATATCGATTCATTAACAAGCTGAGATTCATCCATATTAGCTTTTAGCCACATTAATATCTGGTGAATATATGGAGCGTGACTCTAAGAATCAAATATCTAATAATTGCTCTTCTTCTTTTTATTTCCTTCTCCCTCTTTCTCTAATTTACATTTCAATATTTTAAACAAAAATTACACCTCTTAACTGATTGAATTATCAGATTAAATATATCATATTCGACCACTAATGCAGTTTGTATTCCTTAAAAGGATTCGAATCAAATCAAGAAAGATATTATCCAAATTCATTGACAAGTCTATATGCCACCTTTTTTTTTGGTTAAAAAGTCTATATACCACCTTCTTTTCACATAAAACAGTCATCTCCAATAAAAGTAGTTTCTAATTAATGTATATAAAACACCATTACTTAGAGAATGTAATTACTTTTAAAATTAATGAATGTAATATTTTTGAAGTAATGATGTTGTATGGTAAAAAAAAAAAAAATGCATATGTACATCAAAATACAATATATATATTTTTTAAATGTACAAGAAAAGGTTGGTTTAACAAGAATAACAAAACATCCAATTACCGAAAGAAAAAAGCAATAACAAAATTTCCGGTCCGGTCGGTCACTTACACCTACCCTGCATGTGAAATTAATGTAAGATAAATAAATAATTGTTCTGAGTATGTTTTAATTGGAAGGGATTGATATTATATATATATATATACACACGCACACATACTTGTTTGTATACCTTTCGGTTATTAATTCATGTTTATGGTTTTCAACAGTAAAAAGGCGGCGTAAATTGTGCTCAACGTTTGACTTCACCAAGTGCTTAACAGTGTAGAGTGCCCGATGAATGGAATATTCACCACCCATGTGGAAGATATAATATATATATATATTATTTTACCTATTAGTAAATGATAAGTAAATGTAAATGTATATGTCTGGAATATGTTTATTATATATGTGTGCATGTTCTTGCACGGCAAGTGCTTGTAGAAATGTACGTATATGTGCAAGTTCTGTGGTATAAAATGAATATAAATAAGGAGGTTAGATATGCTACTCCGAAGTGCTTATGGTGAGAGAGTGGCAATTACAAATTGAACCCACTAATTGATCAACCTTAATTTAAAGCAAAAGGATAAATTAAACAAGCTTATAGAACATATACAAGTCCGATTATGTTTGGATAAGTAGTACGGAAAGAAAAGAATACATTTTTTATTATTTTTTTTTTCTCAAATATTTCAAATACATCTTTGGTTGGAGAATTACGTTGAATTGCATTATGAAGTCGGATTCTTTGTTATAATATATTTCTCCTGCTATAGTTGTGTTAAACACTTTTTAATACATTACATTTGTTTTTTAACACGTGAATTATAATTTTATTTTTTAATACATTAAATGTGACTAACATAAATAGATATAAAAGGTTAAAATATATATATAATGAATGATGAAAAAAAACTCTAGCACCAAAAATTACAGCAAGGGTTGGTGTAAAAGATAGCTAGTGACAGAGAGAGATTCCATGACCAAAAACGAAAAAAACATAAACCTTAAAACACGAAAATATAGCTGCCGACACAAGATGTAAATGGACAAAAAGACGTAAGGGCAACTAAGTTTTAAAAAGGTTGTGATTTTTAAGGAATCTTGACATCTACTTTGTCCTACTCTTCTTCTGTCTTTTTCCCATACTTTGTACCGTATTATTCTATAGCAATATGAGGGGGCCTCCTGTCCTGTATATATATATATATATATATATATACAGTAAAATGATGAGGCTGAAACAGGTCCCCCTCCTCCCTCCTAACTAATTCTTTCATATCATGTGGTCTGTTCCATTGCCAATGCATGCACCACCAACCTCCTCATCATTTTAACATCTATGTTCCATTAATCTCTCAGTTTTTAAAACCAGAGAGAGTTGACACTTCATCACTAGTTGCTTTTTAATCACTCATACATTTTTCAAGATATATATGACATTTTCCATTGCTCATTCATGCACCCAACTTTTCTAAGTACTCTGCTACTCATCATTTTAAGATCCACCATTCCTTGATTTGTCATTTGCCACTCATCATTTTATGATCCACCACTCCTTGAATTGTCATTTTAGAGAGAGAGAGATATGACACTTATTTACTGTTTCTTCTATTGAGATATAAAAATATATTAGGACGGAGGTAGTATAAAAATATATATTCAAATGTACAGACACTATCATCTTTCCCTTTCACTCATCCTTTGTTGGTTAAAGTATTAATGTAAAAAAGTGAAAACAGAAAGAACCAAAAAAAAATAATAATAAAAAGGAGCAAACCCCGAGTGTTCGGAATCATTTGGTCAATGACCAAGACTTCCCACCCCAAGGGTGGGTACCCAAAAAAAAACCCTTAATTCAAGTAATGTCTTTTCTTCCTTCTGTGGGTGGATACTAGTGAACAATTGTTGTTAAAAAGTAGAAAATAGTCTCAATTTGTCCTATTCTTTTCTTTGTCGTTTCCCATCATTGACTTCCATCGTTGCTGTAATTCTTCTATATACTTTCTGGCACGCTTCCCTATGCCTCCATTTTATTATATTCTCCTGCATTTTCTGTTACCTTCTGAGGCATCATGCTTCTTGTATCTTCAATTTTGAAGCTCAAGCCATGTGCAGCAATGTACACATAATATCACCAATAGCAGAAAGTCTACATTACCTAGGGTATAAGCAATGTGTGTGCAAATACTTATCAAGTATATACACACACAATGTCACCACTGGAATGGAGCAGTGTGTGAACGTGTACCTGTGTTGCAATTGCAAGGATTTCTAGCTGAGATATACCGTAGTCATCTACCATAATTAACCAGACTAAAATTCACTCTCCTGATAGATATTGAATGGGAAAAGAAAGACACAAACTAATCTAAAATAGGATGAAATATATATTTCGCTTCAAAGCCATTTCAAACCAGACAACAGTAACTTGGAAAGTACAAGGAAGATTTATTCTTGTGCATTTTATCGATACAACAGCTCAAGCTGGCTCATAAAAGTACAAGGAAGATTTATTCTTGTGTATTTTATTGATACAACAGCTCAAACATACAACTGCTTGAGTGCGCGCGCACACACATCACATGAGAGCGCTCTTAGAAACATACATGAGGAGGAATAAGCTTTCCTGGATTCATTATATTGTTGGGATCTAAAGCTGCTTTTATTTTTTTCATCGTCATCAAAGCCTCTATTCCGAGTTCTTCTTCAAGGTACTGGGAACACACAGGAGAGAATGTTAGATAATTTATCTATTGGAACAGTAAGAAGCAAACTCATTGTTAGAAACGGAGACCCAATCCCAATACACCAAACATTGTAAAAACCACGCCTTATTAAAAAACAGAACCAAAAAAGGCCAAGTGGAACCTTGAATTTTAGTTCATTTTTTTCTTTTTCAACTTTAACCCTTTTGTTTTTCTTCAGGAAATAACCTTTCTTCTACCCCGGGTGAGTACCTTGGTAGTCATAGTTCCAACAATTTCTGATGGAGTATTATAGACTTATATATAGTAAGATCAATGCTCATTGCAACTACACAGCAACTTCATCTGTCTATGTTAAGTAGGAGAACTCTCTAAGCACATCTGGCTACCCCTAAGATGGTATCATTTCTGTCATGATTCATCCTTCCAAGCCGTTGTTCATGTAAGGCCAGTGCTATCGCATGAAAAATTATGCTTATATAGATGGAAAAAATTATTGTTCATGATGCTAATCTCAATAAAAAATGCATCAGGATTAAGAAAATCAATACCTTCATTTTCCCAGTACCAACACCATGTTCTCCTGTACATGTTCCTGTTCAATCATAAAATCACGGAAAATAAAGCTAAGCCCACTAACTCGGAATACAAGAACGTTGACAAGTAAAGGGATGGAACATTAACTCAAATTATTTGAAAGAGTAAAATAACATTCCTACAAGAAACAAGGTGGATAGAAGGAAGTTTGAAAATTTGAAAATCATATGATTTAAACTCTTACAATAACAAAGAAAGAAACAATTGTTAAGGGAAAAAGAGAGACTAACTGTTACTAAAATAGAAAATAGGATAATATTAATGAATTTTGTATTAGGAGAATATAGTGGTAATATACTTAGCTTAAGGATGAATAAGATATGCTTGTTTCCTGTCCTAATGTTTGGAGAGTTTAGAGTTGGCTTGCAGACCTGTTGTTACTATATGGCTCAGCTTGTGAACTGGTTTGTTTCATAGAAGTTCAAGCATATGGTGCATAAAATGATTTTTCCTACAAACATTTGGCAGCTTTGGCTAGAAAGGAATGTGCATTTACATCAAGGAAAATCAATGAGTACTGTTGATTTGGCCAGGTCTATTTGGTGGGAGGTCGTCGATATTTCTGGCTGCCAAGTTGATGATTCAGTGCCTTGATGTTCTCTTTTGCTCTTATGGCTTGCTTGTGTCAATGCCTTGTGCTCTTTCTTTCTATTTTGTGCTGTTGAGCCTTGGCTGTTTGCAACATAAGGGTATGCCCTAGTTTGCTATTTTGTACAGATTGTTTTATATCAATAAATTTTTCCACTTACCTAGGAAAAAAAAGAAAGAAGGATATCCTTGAAAAAGAAATTTTTTTACTAAATAAAATTTTATTGACGACTTAGAAAAAGAATATAATATGTGATGTTGCATGATAGTTGATAGACATGGATTCAGAGCGAGAACGGCAGTGGTGAGAATTTCTGAACTTCCTGGTGGCATGCGATTTTTTAATAGCTAATAATTTTATTTTTCCCAGAAAAAAAAGAGGGACATTAACATTTAATAACTGTAAAAGTGGATCAAATAAAAGTCCAAGGAGATTGTTGGGATTTGATGATTGGGTTGTTTGGGGTTCCCTGGGTTATGCCCTGTTCCTCTAGAGGGTTGATTGAGGCTTGGAGAGGTGTCTCTGTTGGGGCGCTCATCCGGGATGCTTGGAGGGCTACCCCTCTCTGTGTTTGGTGGTGCATTTGGCTCGAGAGGAATCGAAGATACTTTGATGGCAATGTTTTCTATTATTTCTACTCTCTTTTGTTGGGTCTCAGGGAGAGATTATCGTTCTGTTGAGGAGATTGTTATGTTTTTGGTCTCTTTGAAGGCTTGAGGCTCATTTTGGTTTTTTCTTCTTGTATCCTTGGGTTTCGCTCCCCTTTGAGCGCTTTTTTATAAAATTCTTACTTATCAAAAAAAAATATAAAAAAAAATAAAAGTCCAACAGCCTTTTACTAAATGAAAAGTCAAATGACTAACATGCAAATAAAGGTTATTTCACGAGAGAATATGACATCATAATGTAGTTTGACAGATTTAGATGTATATACAAGACAAAAATTAAGGACGAGTAAAGGTATAAGAAAACAAAAAAATAAATGGTGGAATTTGAAGAGAGAGAGTACAACTATTTAATAGCAATATGCTAAAAAAACAACATGAAATTTAGAGGACAAAACATATCCAACGTCAAAAAGGATCACAAAAAATTTATATAAAAATTTAACATGAATGAAAATGTAATAGTATACTCATGTAAGTCATATTTTGGCCAATAAAATCTCACTTGATAAATTGCATAGGGTAATTGCCTCTCTCCCCAACATAAATTCAACAATTTAATTAAAATAACTTTAATATATATATATATATATATATATATATATATATATTCTTACTTTAAATTAAAGTTAAAAAATAAACTACATATAAAATTCTGAAATTATAGTAAAAAGATAAGTATTATTGGTGTTTTGTACGTGTCAAGTTAAAGAAAAAGTGAATAATAATATTAAAAATATATAATTAATAATTTTTTACTGTTGCACTTAAAACTATGGAAAATTCCAGGGATACCATTTATGTTCCCTGGCTACTACATTAGCAGAAGTCACTGTTTTAATGAACTGTTGCTTTATAGATAGTTAAATACCAAGGCCAATTTGCTTTAAATTTCATTTTACTTATCAAAAAAAAAATACCAAGGCCAATTTAAAATCTATGGCTACAAGAGTACCATGTTAGATCTTAGATGTAAGTATATTGCTATTTATACTAGTACCTTTCACAAGATTTTCAAATTACATATTACAGTCTGCAGTAGAAAACCTATAAGCTCATCAGACACAGTATGAACTCAAATTTGCCCAACTTGTGAACACTGTTTTTCATCATATGTAATTATGTATTGCAGAATAATGTCTAACATTCTCCAGTACATCTAACAAATATATCTTGTTCTTCAAATATGGATACCACTATACCAATTTGATTGTTTTTTAACAAGGATTTCAATTTCCAGAAACAGCTGTTTATTGTTTAATATATATAGAGAGAGAGACAGAGAGAGAGTAAATGAAACATAACTAAAAAAGGACATCCAAATTATTAAATATCCTACCATTTCATAACAAAAATCATATCATCAGAAAAAAACAGTCCTGTGTGCTCCAATATAGGATCAGTACCTTCCATTGATAAGGCTGTGTGTACCATGAAATGGTTTAATCTCTCAGCTTCTTGTCGTTGATCTTCCTGCTTGGGATCAAATAGAATGACGGTGTGGAAGTTTCCATCACCAGCATGAGCAATAACTGTGCTGTTGTTAAAGAACCAGAAAAAGTATGTGCATTATGAATTTGATTAATTAAGTTCAAAATTAACGTAGTCAAGTCCTCCAATACACTGCAAAAGAAAGTCGAAAAAACTTGATATGCTTCAGAATAAACTTTATCTCCTAGAAGTACACAGCCGAATGACACAAACATACCACACCAATGGTGATGCATCCAGCTCTTGTTTGGATCTAGTTATTAGTTCTGCCAGACACGAAAGAGGAACACATACATCCTGCAAGAAAAAATGAAATATGTAAATATAGTCAGGTAAAACAAGGGAACAGAAATGGTTGGAAAGAGTTTATAACTTATAGTAGAAGAATAACTTCATTAGATAGTAATCAAAATATCCAAGGTTAAAGGTGGTTGGAACCTCTTAGCAGTTAAATCAATAACCAATATCACTTAAAAAGAAATATGTGAATATAGTCAAGTAAAACAAGGGAACAGAAATGGTTCGAAAGAATTTATAACTTAATAGTAGAAGAACTTCTTCATTAGATAGCGATCAAAATATTCAAGGTTAAAGGTCGTTGGAACCTCTTAGCAATTGAATCAATAACCAGTATCACTTAAAAGGATGTATTGAAGGAAAAATGTAATTTTATCATTTCACCAATAATAATGTGAGCAAACCTCTCTTGGTTATTGTTAGCATTTATGATACCACGATTTATGGTATAACTTACCATAATAGCCGAGATATGATAGGCCCAAATCATGGGATGTGATTTACCATATTATCTGTGAGATATGATAGCCACTAATCATGTATTTGACTTTATTTACGCATATGTCTAGGCATAGAATATGCAATGATTTGATTTTGATTCCTTTCTTGTAATATGAGCATGTGCTCATTTTATCTATAAATACTAGAGCTGTGAATGGGTAATTCATCTCATTCAAGCCTTTACGCAATTCTCTCTTTTCTCTTCTTTTTATATTTCTACTTGGTATCAGAGCTAACACCTTTCCACACCTTTCAGCATCCTTGTTACTTGTGCGACAGCTACCTTAGGCTGTTTGTAACATCGTGTGACGTTGCCTACACATGTTTTTCTGTGTTGCTGTTTTGTGATCGAAAATAGGTATTTTTAAGTTTTATAATTTCTTTTTCACTCTTCTAGGGTTGGGTAAATTGGGATAGTTGGTTTCCAACACCTAGAAGGGCTTGGGTAAAAAAAAAAATTAGTTTACAAAGAGGTTCCGAATATTAAGAAGGAGGCTGTCTGGCTATATGTAAGCGGGCAGCGCTCCTTAAAAAAGGTATGTATTTGGATTTTTTGGGAATGGTCTGAGGAGACATTGTTTATGGTCTAAGGAGACCCTTTGATTTATTAACAGAATTTGTGGTGTTTTTGGAGTTCTTTTTATTGTCGTACGACAGATTATGGTAGATTCAGGGTCCTCGACTGTTAATTCTCTTGGCTCACGTTCTGTGGGTGGTGGTGCCATTTTTCCCACCAACTCATCAGAAAATCCAGGACTTCAAATCACCATAGTGAAGTTGGATGGTTCCAACTATTTGATTTGGGCACAGTCTGCCAAGATATTCATTGGTGGCAAAGGCAAGATTGGCTATATTACTGGTTCTGAGAAAGAGCCAGCTGAGTCAGAGAAGGCATATCCACAGTGGTTTGCAGATAACGCTATGGTTATGTCTTGGCTAGTCAATTCGATGCAACCAAACATAGCTGTTGGCTATATGTTTATGAAGACTGCTAAGCAGATTTGGGATTCAGTTCAACGCACTTATTCTCAGAGGCAGAATAATGCACGAATTTTCCAGCTGGGGCGAGATATCACCAGGATTTCTCAGGGTGACTTGACAGTTTCAGGTTACATCGCCAAGATTCGTGCTATTTGGGAGGAGATGTCATATTATGATTCCTTCCACTCTTGGAAGGATCCAGATGATGCAGTTTTATATGCAGGAATTGTGGAGAAGAATCGAGTGTTTCAGTTTCTTGCCGGGTTGAACGACGAGTTTGAGTATGCTCATGTTCATTTATTAGGCTTATCTTCATTCCCTACTCTTGAGGATGCATATTCCTATGTGTTGTCAGATGAGAGCCGCCGGACTCATCCATTAGGTGTTGCTTCTGTTGATCGTTCTGCTATGGTAGTTCGGATTCTCAACCTTTCAAGAACTTCACCATCCCAGTCAGTTCAGAGCACTACCACCGGTCCTCCTCTGGGACGACAACGTGGACGGTGTGACCATTGCGGAAAAATTGGTCACATCAAATCTCGTTGTTATGCTTTGCATGGACGTCCACCGCAACAGAAACAACCACCTCGATCCTCTGCACATTTCGTTACACAACCAGTCTAGTTGTCAACTCCTGACAACCCTGCCTCTACATCTTCTGCCACAGTTACCTTGACTCAAGTTGATTTGAACAAGTTCAAGCAATTCTTCAACCAAATTGAGGCATCATCTCAACCAACCTCCACTTATGCCCACTCAGGTACTATTGCGTCTGCACATAGCGTATCTACATCTTCAACATCATGGATCATTGATTCTGGTGCTTCAGACAATATGACTGGTATGTCCTCACTCTTTCAATCTTATAGTATATGCTCTGGCCAACGCAAGGTCCGCCTTCCGGATGGCTCTCCATCTTCCATTGCTGGGAAGGGTCACATATCAGTTACTCCTTCATTAACTTTGTCAAATACACTTCATGTTCCAAAGTTGACTACAAATCTTATTTCTGTTAGTAGCGTTACCAAACAATTAAATTGTAGTGTAACGTTCTTTCCCTCATTGTATTTTTCAGGATCTGGTGTCGAAACGGACGATTGGTAGTGGGCGTGAAGTGGACGGTTTATACTTGTTGGATGCTCCTTTGTCACCGCAAGCACATTCAGCTTCATTTTCTAATATTGTTTCATCTAATAAAGCCCAGCTTATGCGTTGGCACATGCGTTTAGGACATATTTCTTTTGGTTATCTGAAACATTTATTTCCTTCCTTATTTTGTAACGTGGCAGTGTCAGATTTATCCTGTGAAACATGTCATATGGCTAAACACGTTCGTTCCAATTATCCTCCTAGTAGTAATAAATCTGCTTTAACACCTTTTGATCTTGTTCATTCAGATGTGTGGGGTCCTTGCCCAATTACTTCTAGTCTTGGATTTCAATATTTCGTGTTGTTCATTGATGATCATAGTCGTGTTACTTGGGTTTATCTTATGAAAACCAAAAATGAGGTATACACCATTTTTAAAAATTTTATGACAATGGTTCAGACTCAATTTGGTCGTACCATTAAAAAATTCCGATCTGACCAGGGTACAGAGTACACTTATGGGGAGGTACAACGGTTATGTACAGAATTTGGGATTGCGCATCAGCTGGCTAATGTTAAAACTCCTCAACAGAATGGTCGTTCTGAGAGAAAGAATCGCCACATCCTTGACTTAGCCAGAGCAATCTGCATTGGCATGAATGTTCCCCAGTCATTTTGGAGAGATGCAGTTCTTACCGCTGTTTACATCATTAATAGGACTCCTTCTAGGATTCTTAACTTTGCAGCCCCATTCTCAATCTTACATCCCAATTCATCTCTATTTTTTATTCCTCCACGAGTCTTCGAGTGTGTGTGCTTTGTTCAGCAGTTGGGGCAAACTCGTACAAAGCTTGACCCCAAGGCTTTGAAGTGTGTGTTTTTGGGCTACTCTCACTCTCAAAAAGGTTATAGGTGTTACCATCCTCCCAGTCGTCGGCGGTTTATATCCATGGATGTTTCTTTCTTTGAGCATACACCATACTATAGTGGTTCAGTTGGTTCTCAGAGTGAATGGTTCCCATTGAATATAATGGATGATCACCTTCTTCCGTCTTCAACTCCTCTACCATTACCTGTTTCTTCTTCTATAATTCCTCCTCGTGATACCCCTCTAGCAAGGGGAATTGTTCCTTTTTCACAGGTTTATAATCGGAGACAACAGGTACAAGTTTTTACTCCCACGATCGACTGCCCTGTTCCTTCGGCACCAGCTCCGCCTTCTCAAGCTATTGTTTCGCTTGATGATCGCCCCATTGCTCTTCGAAAGGATAAACATTCTTGTACTTACCCTATTTCTAATTTTGTTTCTGATTATGCTCTCTCACCCTCCTATCGGAGTTTTCTTGTTTCTGTTGCCTCGGTTCCTGTTCCTTCCAGTGTTGCAGATGCGCTAGCACAACCTCAATGGCGTGATGCTATGACAGAAAACTACAAGCACTTGAGAAAAATCAGACTTGGGACATGGTTCCGCTTCCTATTGGACGAAAGGCTGTGGGTTGTCATTGGGTGTTTACAGTCAAGCATAATCCAGATGGGTCAGTTGCTCGTTACAAGGCCCGATTGGTTGCCAAGGGTTATGCTCAGACTTATGGCATAGATTATCAAGAGACTTTTGCCCCTGTTGCCAAGATGAATACCATCCGTGTATTATTTTCCGTTGCTGCAATTCGATCTTGGCCTCTATTTCAGTTAGATGTCAAGAATGCCTTTCTTAATGGTGATTTACAGGAGGAGGTGTACATGGTTCCTCCTTCGGGCTTTTGTTCTCCTGCACATTCTGGTATGGTATGTTGTCTTCGTCGTTCTCTATATGGCCTCAAGCAGTCTCCTCGAGCTTGGTCTGATCGCTTTGGCATTGCTATGCTCAAGTTTGGTTTCCATCAAAGTGCAGCTGATCATATCTTGTTTTTACGTCACTCAGGCGGTAAGACAGTTGCTCTCATTGTGTATGTCGATGATATTATTCTTACCGGCGATGATACTACCGGAATTAATGAGGTTAAGAGCTATCTTGGCCGTCAGTTTGAGATTAAGGATCTTGGTCCCCTACGATACTTCTTGGGCATTGAGGTGGCTCGCTCCAAGACTGGCATTTTCATCTTTCAACGCAAGTATGTTCTTGACTTGCTTTCTACTTCTGGTCAGCTTGGCGCTCGTCCTGCTGATACTCCAATTGAGCAGAATCATCGGTTGGCTGATTCTGAGGGGGAGTTGTTGTCAGATATTGGTCAGTATCAACGACTTGTGGGGAAGCTCATCTAGTTATCCATAACTCGACCTGACATTGCTTATGCCGTGAGTGTCGTGAGTCCATTCATGCACTCTCCTCGTGCCCCACACCTTGATACAGCTATTTGGATTCTTCGCTACTTAAAAGGGTATCCAGGCCATGGTATTTTGTTTGCTAATCATGGTCACTTACGTATTGAGGCTTGGACAGATGCTGATTATGCAGGATCAATTTCAGATAGGAGGTCTACTTCAGGTTATTGTACCACTATTGGTGGTAACTTGGTTACTTGGCACAGTAAGAAGCAGGATGTTGCCTCTCGATCTAGTGCAGAGGTAGAGTATAGGGCTATGGCTCTTGGGGTAAGTGAGTTGCTTTGGCTAAAAACCTTGATGATAGACTTGTGCCTTCCAGTGTCGCTTCCATTCTCACTCTACTGCGACAACAAGTCTGCCATTAACATAGCAGCAAATCCCGTTCAGCATGACAGGACTAAGCATATAGAGGTGGACCGTCACTTCATTCGAGAGAAGATCATCTTTGGTCAAATTTGCACTCCATTTGTCACAAGCTCTCAGCAGCTTGCAGACATTCTTACAAAGGGCGTCAGCAAGATTGTGTTTGAGAATGCATTGTCCAAGTTGGGCGTTTCAGATATCCACGCACCAACTTGAGGGGGAGTGTTAGCATTTATGATACCACGATTTATGGTATAACTTACCATAATAGCCGAGATATGATAGGCCCAAATCATGGGATGTGATTTACCATATTATCTGTGAGATATGATAGCCACTAATCATGTATTTGACTTTATTTACGCATATGTCTAGGCATAGAATATGCAATGATTTGATTTTGTTTCCTTTCTTGTAATATGAGCATGTGCTCATTTTATCTATAAATACTAGAGCTGTGAATGGGTAATTCATCTCATTCAAGCCTTTATGCAATTCTCTCTTTTCTCTTCTTTTTATATTTCTACTGTTATACCAAGAATTTCCTGGGGCTACTTATCAAAATTTGTGTCATGTCACGAGTACTTAGTTCAAAGCACTGATACATGCATCTCATATAAGAAGCTCAAAATTCAAATAAAGAACAAAAATTCATAAATATTGAATATTCTAGCGAGAAGTTGGAGATAAAACCAACTAAGAAATATGTAAATATAGTCAAGTAAAACAAGGGAACAAAAATGGTTTGAAAGAGTTTATAACTTATAGTAGAAGAAAAACTTCATTAGATTACAATCAAAATATCTAAGGTTAAAGGTGGTTGGAACCTCTTAGCAGTTGAATCAATAACCATCACTTAAAGGGCGTATTGAAGGAAAAAATGTAATTTTATCATTTCACCAATAATAGTGTGAGCCAAACCTCTCTTGGTACTACCAAGTATATGTTGTGGCTACTAGTCAAAATTCGTGTCGTCACTAATACTTAGTTCAAAGAACTGATACATACATCTCATATAAGAAGCTCAAAATTCAAATAAACAACAAAAGTTCGTAAATATTGAATATTCTAGCAAGAAGTTGGAGATAAAACCAACTAAGAAAGAGAGGAGAGGCCTTAAACAAAATTTGAAGGTGATAGAAGATCAATTAAAAGGCCAAAAGGATGTGGCAGAAACAATGGGAAAAATCATCATGGCATAAAGTTTGTTGCGGGAAAGAAACATGTAAATATAGTCAAGTAAAACAGGGAACAGAAGTGGTTCTTAGCTGTTGAATCAAAAACCAATATCACCGGGATGTATTTAAGAAAAAATGTAATAGAGCAAAATCGTGGCAACGTAGCGTATAGTTTAACTGAAAGCATGTCTCCTAATAGAGCCAAATCTTGAAACACGATCATAAAACTAACAGCATATAGTTGGGACATCAAAATTTTGACTATTATTTTAATACTGTAACTCAAGATATCCCTTAAAGTCATGACACTGTTACTTGATTCACAGTATAAGAAGTTCAAATTTCACATAAACAACTAAAGCTCATAAAATACAAACCGATATCATTGCTTCAAAATTAGGTTCCAGTGCAAAGCAAGCCCATAGCGCCTCCTTTCTTATCTACAAGTAAAGCAACAAATAAATTTGCTTAGTAAATGTAGAAAGAAAGGATTATGATGACTATATGTATTGTGGTTATGGACCTCATAAAATCAAATAAATAAAAAACTAATAATAAAAGTATTGTTAGAAGAAAAATGTAGACATAAGGCAGTGACATAGATATGTTACCCCAAATCTATTGACAGGTTTGTGCAGTTGTTTTTTGACATGTGACTAAAAAAGATCTCCATCTTTCTGGATAAATTGAATTTAGAATACATGGGGCCACCTTTGCCATATATTCCATACATCACACTAGATAGATATCATATTCGAGAAATCTAAAGAAAGTGATAATTCCAAAATAAAGAAGAGGAGGAAAGTTTGAAAGACAAGGACTCCCAACTAAAAAAAAAAATAACCGATCAATCAGATAACTACCATACCTTCCAAAGTTCCTTTTTAGCTTCAGGATCTTCCGCGAAAACAAAATCCGAACCATTGTGCTCGGAAGCAATCTTCTGAACAATTAGAGTTTGCTCACGTGAATATGCTTCTAATAAACAGTAATTACAAAGTAAAAAATTAGCACTCACAGAAGGAGGAAAAAAAAAACAGAAAATTCAAGAATAAGGAATCTATTGGAGGGAATATTGCCTTTTGAACTCAAGAATAAGCAATATATGAAGGGAGTACTGCATTGTTCACGAATGGAGTGATCAGACTGACCTTACATTTTTCTTTATACATTTTTATGGCACATAACTAGTCATTACTTGTGCCAATCATAGTCTTATCTAACTTCTAATGCAATTAATCATCAAATTTGATGCTGTACCACTAGAGAATATGATCAAAATAATGTGGATGTCAAGTCAAGAAAATGAAAGAGAATAATCAGGTATGATGACCAATGTGCTTGATCTGATATCTGAAAGAAAAGCAGTAACTCTATCCTGAACAATCCAAACTTATACAGATTTAGGTGGCAATACAGGCCTAGTGTTTTCAAAATACCATAGAACATTGAAGTTTATGCAAATATAACCTAGAATCACCACATAACTAAAGCATGTGAGCATCAGAATACATTCAAAACAACATAACCAAATGCAAACTGAGTAAAATATTCTGGAATTATCCAAAAAGTGATTTACTACTAGTTAAGAATTTTAATCAACTAGAATCATTTTAATTTTGCTCTACAGTCCATTCCATATGACAGTATGTGTAAACAAAAAAGAAAAAACTCATGGTGGAAGAGGTCTAGGAAAAGATTTGAGAACAAAAATACTGGAAACACACACACAAAAAAAAAAAAGAAGAAGAAGAAGAAGAAGAAGAAGAGAAAAGGTGGCTATTAGAACTAGAGTGAAGAGAAGGGGAAGGGGAGAAAGAGCAGAAAGAAGTAACCACTGTAAGATTTCTTATAATCTTCAACAAACCTCCTCAAAGAAGAAAAACAAGGTAAAACTATATACACAACTGAACTTTTCAATAAGGACAGACATGAGGTCCATGACATAGGAAGGGCTGCTTTGTTTTTCTCTTTGTTTTACCTGTAATGGTAACAATTCTAATTTCCCAGCCCCTTTTTTTTTTTCCATGACCTTTTCACTTTGATTTTCCAATTTTACCACTTCATCAAATTTCAACTAATTTTAATCTATTGCTATATGTAAAACTGAGTTTCTTCTACAAAAGTGTACCACATTTGGATTACTATTTCATCTTTACCATTATCATCAATAGAACATAACATCCATAATTGCATTATTTACATGTATGAATGCAATTACGTGTGTGCATCTATGTCTACTTATGCATATGTATTAAAAACCCTTTTACCCCTTAAATTGTTTCAGAATACTATTCTGGTCAAAAGTTTCTGTTATGACAAACGCAATGAATCCAAGTTGAACCAAGAATCACGATAGAAAATTAAACATGCCACACAAAGAACACAAAGATTTATACGTAGTTCGGTGGTTGGGATCTGGCGAAAGTTTTCACTATGTGTAAAATCGGAGATTACAAGTTTTCAGCCCCTCGCTTTGTTTCTGTACGAATTTCAGAGTCTCTCTGTTCCCCCACTCCAAACCCTAATGTCACGGGCCTAGAGATTCGGCGCAGCGGCACGGCCCGTGCGGCACCAAGGCGTTGCTTCAGCTCGCGCAAGCGCCCTGGTCAGCCACCACGACCTGCCCTCCCAAGGATACATGCTGACTGGTTTCGGCCTGCCATGGCCTCGTCAGGGGAACGGCTCCAGCTCCCGACCAGTTTGTGCAGGGATGGCCAACTCCCTTCTTCATAGTCAAGTCCAAGACTAGCGACAAGCACCTCGAACTGAACCGAGTCGACCTGCCTGAACTCTGAAGAGGTACCATCCTGTGGTCCTGCACGCCCCTTCCCTGGAACCATTCCCAGTCAATGAATGTTCTTAGCCAACCAGCATGCGTATCTTCTATGCTCATGGCGTCGTTAGGAATCGGATCGTGACATTCTCCCCCACCCAAATCCTGCGACGCCCTCGTCGCAGTGCGGCGCTGACTCCGCTGCGTCCAACATTCCAAAGCCTGTCTCCTCCAAGTGGTATGCTCGCCTGCCCACCATCGCTTCCTTGTACAACCCCTGGCTGCACTCGCCCAATGATAGGGTTTCGGGCTAAAGGGACGCCCACTTCTTCGGGACGCAACCCCACGTTATGCCGCCTCCGCGACACCCCGAGCAAACAAGCGCCCTCCGGCTGACTTGATACCCGCCCTTCACAACGGTTTGCACGCCTCTTGAACTTGCAAGAACTTTGGTGCGCGCGGCCCTCCGGCCATCCGATGCGCGCGGCCCTCCGGCCCTTCAAGGACGCGTCTTCATGGGGAGATGGAGGCTCTCCTCCAACAGCATTGATTGCCCACCGACGCTTTAGTGCACCGTCTTCATTCTCAAGACCCCCGGATCGACAAGGGGGCACACCTTTGTGCTTTACCCCAAGTCCTGCTCTGATACCATTTGTCACGGGCCTAGAGATTCGGCGCAGCGGCACGGCCCGTGCGGCACCAAGGCGTTGCTTCAGCTCGCGCAAGCGCCCTGGTCAGCCACCACGACCTGCCCTCCCAAGGATACATGCTGACTGGTTTCGGCCTGCCATGGCCTCGTCAGGGGAACGGCTCCAGCTCCCGACCAGTTTGTGCAGGGATGGCCAACTCCCTTCTTCATAGTCAAGTCCAAGACTAGCGACAAACACCTCGAACTGAACCGAGTCGACCTGCCTGAACTCTGAAGAGGTACCATCCTGTGGTCCTGCACGCCCCTTCCCTGGAACCATTCCCAGTCAATGAATGTTCTTAGCCAACCAGCATGCGTATCTTCTATGCTCATGGCGTCGTTAGGAATCGGATCGTGACACTAAGCACCCTTATATATTGGGCTACAAAAGACTAATTAGGGTCCACGACCCATGAGCAAAAAAGGGTAAAAAAAAAAGTTTCTTATCCAACGGGTCGTCGGGTCATAAGTGGGTCGCAACGCCACCCGGCACCAAATTCGGGCCATATATCACAGTTTCATATAAATATATCCTAGTTCATTGCTTACCTCTCTTCCATTCAAATTCCTCCTATGTCATTTAGCTTTTTTCTTCTCCATTCTGGCCTTCTAGTCTCTCATCTTTCACATGGCTTATCTACTATGTTCTTTTACTTGCATGGTCTCTCACCAAACAAACCACATTTCAAGGCTTACCTCCCTCCACAACTCCCAGGTTGCCTGGCATGCACATAGCTGTAGGTATACATGCACGCAAGCCACCTACAGACGCTTTACGCCCAATCATTCCAGATAGCGCTTGCATCCTCTGTATTACCGTTGTGGCTGGCACAGAGTTAGCCGATGCTTATCTGATTCAGCATTCCTTAATTTATCTTATAACAATCATAATAGACTTCAGGAAATAAACAAAGTTGAAATAAATTGACAACATTATTAGCTTTTTTTATGCAATTCAATTATTAATAAGATTATTCCAATTTGAATATGAATATATATATATATATATATATTGGCAACAAAAATGACATCGGAATCTGCCAGGCATGCACGCAGGGATACACACACATACAAATATATATATATAGAGAGAGAGAGAGATTCAGAAATTTCTATAATTCAATGTCCTCAGTTTATCTTATAACAATTGCAGTACACTTCAATTTATCAAAAAAAACAATTGTAGTAGACTTTAGAGAAAATAATGTTAAAATAAATTGACAACACTATGAATTTTTCCTCTGCAATGCACTGATTATTATTATTATTTTTCCCTAGCAACAATGTGCTGATCATTAAGATTGTTCCAATTTGAATATATATATATATAATGCTAACAAAAATGAAAAAAGACGCTGCATAACAAAAGGGATTATGTTCACCTGTCCCTATGAATTCAAACATCAATGTTGGAACTTCCGGCAAGTTCTTTCCATTAGCAAGATTGACAGCTTTCACTTGAACCTCATCCAATAGCTCCACCCTTGAAACCTATGAGCATTATGAGTGGAAAGTGCGGGAGAAAATGGATAAGTAATTTAACAATTTTTTTTTTCTTTCTCTAATGGCATGTTGCAAAGGATAAATTAGAATTTAAGATTAAAATTCCAATTCAAATTCATTATAAAGCTACATTTTTAAATGCATCAGAACAAGCTAACTATAAAAATTTCGAAACCTGCAAGCAAAGAGCAAAACATGACAATTGTAATTGGTAGGACACACACACACACACACACATATATATATATATATTATATAGACTTTGGTCATATCATTTTGTTTCTAAAATAAGCAGGAAGAGGCATTAAACTAAGGTACTAGACCCAATTCTTCAGGTCATATCTAGTTCGCTGCGACAGGTGGCCTGCATCTTCAGTTGGGAACTTGGGATCTAGAATCAACGATTGAAATAGGTAAAGACTAAAACCATATACATTTAGAAATAGTAGTGCAATCATTGTGGTGGAACAAATCATACTGAACCTTACTGTTGGGTGAAATATGGGAAGGTTGATTATGTGCATTAGGCTACCTATAGTACTACCCAACCCCTGCAGCCTCGTACGACTTCTTGACATGTAGCTTTGATTTTAGTTCTCGTGATGCACTCAGACATTGCAAACTACTCTTCCATCCACTTCTACTGCTACCTTAACCACTCAACAAAATTATAATGAAGCCCAAACTCTCTAACATGATCATTCAAAACGAGGCAGAGATTGGAGATGATGTTGTTGCTTGAAGAACAAAAGCAAGAGAGGTTTACTGGAGTAATGCTTCTAGTATACTTTATGATTAAATACACCTATAATTTCCAAGGAAAACATTTGCGGAACAAATATTCAAGCATTCACTAGATAGCATGTTGAAAGGCTAAGAAACAACATCCAAAGAAAGCATCTCCAAATGTGAATGCTGAGATAAACATTTAATATAACAAGAAAGTTTAAATTTTCAAACAAATAATCATAGATGGTAAAAGTAGCACCTTTTTGGAAATAAAATGGAGGAAGACTCACTAAGATAGTTTGCCCACGAACAGCAAGACCCATAACAACACCAACGAGGAAGAGCAATATAAAGCATCCTGAGGGTAATGCAAGGAGAGGGAAGTTCGCCATTTATGTACTGTCCCTTTCTCATGTCTTTCATGTCCAACTCTAGCATCAGATAACTAGACAGTGTATGCCATGCTGACAATTGTTTGGTACACTACTCATTAAAGATAAACAGCTAGTGGATCAAAAGAATCCTGAACCACATTAATTCATTTTTCTCCTAAATGGTAAGATATTTTCACAAACACACACACGTACATCCAAGGAAAACAACAGTAAAATCCCAGTGAAAAGGGGGGCCAAAAGAAATTACAATGATATCACTGTCGCTCTTTTTAGAATAACTCCTATAATACAAATTAGATTGGTCAATCATGAGCATGGAACACAATCTTTATATAATTATAGTAATGATGTGAGGATATAACAACAAAACAAATTTAACAGCAGAAATTTGACTCTAACCTGTATACCAGACAACATAGTGGCAATAGCAACATCTGCTGCATCCTTAATTGTAGGAAAATTACACATTGCAACCTGTAACATAATCATGGTCAGCAAAATGTCAATCTGTAAGAAAAAAATATGTATATTGCAGGAAATGTTTCACTTGACAGAAATGCAATTCTACCAAAGGAAATATAGGTATAGGTGATATAATGTTACATAAGGAATCAATATAAAAGAGCTTACAAATTTCACTCGATAGAAATGTCAAAACAATTATCACATAAACATCTAAAAATCTTAAATCACAAAAGTTGCAAAACTGGGTATTTTTCCCGGTAAATAACTACCAGTACTGGGTTAATTGTTAATTATTCCTCTCACACTCGAAGCACCACTGCATGTGTGATAAAGCAGCACTCAGCTGAACAAGGTCATAAAAGCTACTAGCGGTCTGGATACCGAAGACATACCATGGTTTGCTTGGTAATTGTTAACCACCATCTACGCTATAAAAGCTTAAGCTGTTAGAGGGTGCAACTTTAATATTTCAGCTGCTTGGTAATTATGTTTATTTATGGAAAACAAAAATGAATTATGTTCTCCTCCATCAATCATCGCACCGCCACCTCCACCTTCTATCTCCCCACCATCGCCTTCCTCACCATATTCTATGATGTCCACTCATTCTCCAACCGATTTGAATTTTCTCCAATTATTTCAAACCCCAATCATTAACACCTCCATGGTTGTAGAACTGCTCGGCCGAGGGCGGCCACGTCACCATCCTGCACTTCAGCACAACACCAGAGTTACTAACCCCCCACTGCGTCATGTTCTAAGATAGCATGTGATGTTTCTTTTATCAGCACCCTTTTATTATCAACACCTTCTGGAATCCATTTTCTATTTGAATCCAATAGGTAACTAATTTTCTTTGGATTCATCAGTTGTCCAATATTTTTATTTTTCCAATCGCTCGTATAAAAATGGTGATCAGAGGGCTCAAGATTGGTGGAGAGTGGAGACCGCAAGGAGATCTCATGGAGCTTTGTGAGGTTTAATGAGCTAAACTACCAAAACTTACATAAATAACTGAATTTGGTTTCTTGGAATCCAGCCATTTTACGAAGCTATGTTCATCAATTGGTGGTGTTTAAAGTTTAATTACTAGCCGTGGAAAGAAGAAAAGAATTGCAAAATCAATGTGAGAATTATGACAGTTCTCAAGAAATCTAGTTAATACTTAATACATATACGTGCATATATATATATATATTGTTTGTCTGTGAGGAGGAAAAAAAAAAAAAAAAGACAATCAATAGTGTTTTGTTTAAAATAAATGCTTTTAAAAAAATCAATTGGTGAGTTTAATGACTGGCCATTGAATGAGTATATGATAGGGTAAATTTGTCCAATTACAAAATAATTTATTATAATAAGGGCAATTAGGTAATAAATTGTCAAATGGTCACTTACAAGTATTTAAGTTCGACATTTTGTCACTATTGATCTTTCCTTAACTTTGTGGTCCCTTTAGACCAATTTTGTTTAGGTTTGGTCACTAAAATCTAATTTTCCCAATTAGAATACACACAAAACAAGGAAATTTTCAAAATATGGAAAGTTTCTAAAAACACAAATTCCACTGCAGAAAATTAGGTTCTCTGACTGCATCACAGCATTGGGCAAAGTTTAAAACTATAGTATCCACAGAAAGTACTAGGTTGATGGATCTGCAGAAACGTAGGAGATACAGTGGTAGCTAAAGCTTCCAGACTCGTATTATTGAATTACATGAGACATCAAATATTGCTTAGAATGTATTAGAAAAAATCTATAAAAAATAATAAAGAGAGAGAGAGAGAGAGAGAGAGCCAACATACCACTGAATGCTGTGGAATTCTCTGAAGACGTAAAGTAACTTCTGTTATCACACCCAAGGTTCCTTCACTTCCAATCAGCAGACGCGTCAAATCATACCTAGCACATGAGTGATTCCAAAGGTTATCAGGGTGCCTTAGTTAAAGATACTACCAGCCAAGAAACAACTATTAGTTAAAAAAAATGGATGCTAAATTTGTAAACGGTTCATGAGCAAAAATAGTTTTTAAAAAAATGGATGCTAAATTAGTATGCAGTTCATGGGCAAAAAAACTCACACATCATGCAAAGTGTCATCTACTCATAATTTGCAAAGACAAAAAATCTCGTAAGCATAACAGATTTAGACTAAAAGATGAAGATATTAGCCTCATAAGAATAAATCATGCAAGCCTAACTCAAACAAAGTAAGAAAATCATCAAGTCTTTTTGGTTCAGTTCTCGCAAAATAAATTGAAGAATTCAATAAAAAGAAGCAATTTTCAGATAACGTTAAAAAAGTGTTATCGGAAATATTGTCTTCTTTAACTACGTTTGAGAGAACAGTTTTATGATAAACTAACTTTTGAAGTATTTTTTCTGTTTTTATATTCTCTGAGAACTAAAAACCATTCTCAGGAACAGACCCCAATTTTCTCACCAATGTTTAGAATTTTAGATCCCCACAATCAATTTCTCCCATTCCTTCGCATAAATACTCAAGAAAAATTAGTAAAGTCAAGAAAGGGAAAAAGATAAACGGCCCCAGAAAATTTAATATAATAAAGGCTACATGAAATAAAAAATTGAAAGGAGATCATAACAATTCCTAACCTTATCTAGAATCCGATGTAATGTTACTCTGATTTATTGTGATAGAAAATGTAGACACCTAGTATCAATCCAGTAAATTTTACTTCTTTTATAACATTTCTTGTCTTAGTTATCATAAAATTCTGAACTACATCATGTTTGCGCTTCTGAAACAGGAGTTAATATTTAGTAATACTTATGCCTGTCTTCTAATAAAACTACAGTAACATTGTGACCAAATTAAGAATGACCATGAGAAAGGTGTCGGTTATCCAAAAATATCAAATGACTTTTCTAGAAAAAAGTTAGCCCAACAGAAAAAGAAGCATAGGCATTCAAACAAAGAAACTAAACTGTGGATTGCTGGACACCTCCACCAGTAAATTGCACCAATGACTGAATGCTGCACCAACATTCTAGAAGGAGTTTTGGAAAAATAGCAGGCTGCAATGCCCCAAAACATATCTAATGACAATATGTTCCAATGACGTACAAAAAATAAGATTGAAAAAACAAATATTTATGGTAATATAGTAGAAGGAACATGTGAAAGATGTTTTCATCCTGAATCTGTTATGCTGAAAATCTTTTATTTGTTTCTCAGTTGACTTCTGATTACCCTTGCTTATCATTCATGTTGTACCACACACATCAGAAATGTCAAAAGACATTTCAATCTAGAAACTCGGGTACAATAAAATCCATAACAGAAGAAATAGAAGAATAGAAGAGAAATGTGTAAAGGCTTGAACGAGGCACAAACACTCATTCACACCTTTGGTATTTATATACTACCTCCGTCCCAAATTAGATGTCCTGTTTGGGGAACCGTGACTCACACGGTTCCCCAAACAGGACATCTTTTTTGAGACAGAGGGAGTACTAAAAAGAGCACATGTTACAATTACAAGAAAGGAAACTGTTTAAAGTCACTGCAGATTGTATACCAAGACATGCAAAAATAAAGCCAAATCCCATGATTCTAGCCTATCATATCTCAGCTAATATGGTAAGGTACATTCATGATTCTAGCCTTTCATATTTCAGCTAACAATAACCTTGACAACATTGTAACTTCACCTTGGCGCCATTACAATATCATCTTGCACAAAGAAGAAATACACAGGCCAATTTGGGATGGGAGTAAGGTGTCATCAATTGATTTTACCAACAGCAAGTCATAGTTGTGACTAGTTCACAATTTAAACATACACATACAAAGGTATCTCAGAGCAAGATCAAGTTGCTTTACAGGTTTGCCGCTTCATGATATTCGTATACAGGTCAGATGGTCTCTAAATTTTTCAAGTAATTTTGTGTTACTATTATGTGAAGTGATGACTTCAAAAATAAATATATAACTAAAAGAAAAAGAAAAAGAAAATATGAAGAAGAAGAAAGAAAACCAACAAAAAAAAAAAAAAAAAAAAAGGGGGAAGAAGAAGAAGAAGATTAAAACATATACAAAGAACACACCCTGCAGCGCTTTTTCGAGCACGAGATCCTGTCTTGACAATATCTCCATTGTGCAGAACAACCTGCAATTGAAGCAGCAGGTAGAATATGATGCTAGCTAATATGTTACCATAGAAAGAGGAAAAACAAACCTTGAGGTTGATTACATTATCCCGCATAGTTCCATACCTACATGCTAAAATAAATTGTTAGTTCAATCCCAATTAAGAAAACAAAGCATTCACAGTTGAGCGGCAGTTTTTACTTGATAAAGTTTAGATGATAATTTGCAAAGAAAAGACTATAAATCGAATCATGAAAAAAGGATTTATAATTTTTAAGTAATTTTTTGCCTAAAAGCAGAACAACCAATCAATCCAAAAGATGTCAAAGAGGGTGGATTTTGCATTATTCAATACTCTCCATCACATGTGGCCTCCCAGATTGAAATATCCATATGAACAAATTATATATATAAAGGATACCACGGGATTTAATGCAAGACCTTCCGCTTTTCCCCCAAGTAGTGCAAGACCTTCCTACTTTTTAACCGTGTGATACCATGTTAAACTTTTGTTGTAGTCAGTAGTTAAGATGATAATAAAAAGGATCCAGGGTGACCAACAGGCCAGTGGCCTAGCGGCACTAGGCTCCTACTTTCCAAAGGGAGGTTAGGGGTTCGAGCCTCGGTGGAGGCATGTGTGTGTGAGTACCAACTAAGAAAAAAAATAAAATAAAATAAAAAAAGATCCAGTGTCTGAATCCTGACACCTCTCCAATAACTGTGCTGCATTCAAAGAGTCTCATTATAGGTAGCCTGACCCCACACATGAGGAACCATTACACAACTTTCTAACATGTCAAACAACTACTTACTCCAATTTTCATTCTTCCAGGGTATAATCAGGCCCTGCCACTTATCATTATTCATCTATTTACCAATCAATATTGTACAAGGTCTTTTTTTCCGGTACTTTTAACTCATTTTGTAGAAAGAAGATGTCATGGTAACAATGTGTCGAACTCCACAATTGACGGCAACTGCTGGCTCGCATTTACAAAATTTTTGTGGGGATTTACAAAAATTTCCAAAAACCAACATTTCTCATGGTAGCTAGTACATCACTAAATCATTTCAATAAAGAATGATGGGTGCAAAATGGAATAAAAGCACAGTATGGCCCAAATGCAGCATAAACGTGGAGTAGTTAGACCCACAAACCTAAGCAATTATTTCTGCTTAAACAACCTAAGCATTTGCTCATTTCCATGATAAGAAACTCAAAACTACAGAGATTGACCACATCAATAGCTTTCTAATCCAACCATCTCCAGTCAAGGGTATCATTCCGCTTAAAATGTTTCAATTGCAGAAGAAGCTTTAGATCATTGTCTCTTGGTTTCTCATAACTTACCATATTATTCTAAATTATACAGAAAGCCTCTAACCAGTCATTTATATCAATCAAATCCTTAAAAATGCTTGACACAACAGTTAGGATCAACATATATGCATAATTGGAGATTCAAAGTGTAAGAAAAAATCCATTTAAAAAGAGTAAACTCCTAAATGTAAGGTTCATAATATGAAATTTTCCATCGTTACAACATATTGGCAGAGACAAAGGATGATAACCATGTACATGAGCTAGAACCAATTAATCGTCACATAATTAACCGATTTTGGCCATCTATGTGAAGTAAAAGAAAAGGTAAGACTGTGAATTACAAGGATATAAATCATTAACCAATTTATGTTATAGAAAAGGTACTATGAAATAAATTTAATGTAGAAGTATGGTACAATTTTTTCCAGCACCATAATCACTTGTATTTATGTGAACAGTTAATGCTAAACTTATTATGAAGCACCGTACTAGTTATGGATAACAAAATATGGCAACTACCTCACTGCTAAAGAACCAGAGCAACGTGTTGCGCACATACCCCCGATGGTTGCTCCAGGCCCTGCCAGTCAACATGTGAATAACATAAACTCAATCACCAAGTGCATTAGTTGAGAAATAGAGCATCAGAACCATACAAGTTACTCTCATTATACACCAAACAGAAAAGGTGTAAGCAGCAAAATATTTTGATAGAAGGGTTTTTCAATCATCTTTGTACTCAGAGCTCAAAATCTCAATTCACCAACCAGTGTACAAAGACGACTTAGGGCCTGTTTGATTTCCTAATTCAGAATATAGAACACGGTAAGTGATTTTTAAAAATAAGTTTGTTTGATAAAATTTTAGGACACCACTTAACATGGTAAGTACCGCTTAAAAGAGGCCAAAATTTTAAGCGTGGGGAAGGTTACTTATCGCTTATCGCAGAACACGGTAAGTGGTTGGGTTTAAAAAATAACTTTTTAATGACTACTCTACCCTCATATAATTGTGTTATCTCTTTTAGGGTTTCTCTCTGCGATTTTTCTAATGAAAATGAATTACATGTAACAAATTCCAAAAAAATAAAAAACATAATTCTACCTAATATATTTAAATTTTTAAACACGTATATAGCCTTTTGGTTACCATTTATATTGATTCACTCTAGAAAACAATTATTTATGTAGCAGAATTCTATTCAATTTCACGTACTTTCTTTAATATTTTTAACACTATTTTTATACCCACACCATTTTTATACCCTACAAAAATATTATGTAATTATTTATACTACAAAGATATTATGTAATTATTTATATAATAGAATTCTATTATCAGAGAAGAATTGTCTTTCACACACTTTCTTAACACTCTTTTCAATACTCTACCATGTAATCCAAAACGCATATATTTTAAATTTTACTTTCTTTAATCTTTTGCAACATTCTTTTTGATATCCAAAACCTATATACTTTAAATTTTTATTAATTATTTATATAATAGAATTAATTTTTTATTTTTAGTTTTTGTTAATCGTGGGTGTCCGAGCCAGCTTGCGCGCACCTCGACTAATCCCACGAGGCCCTGAAAATATATAATAGAATTATGTTCCTAGATAAGAATTCTTTTTCACTTTCCTTAATTTTTGTAACACATTTTTTAATACCCTACATAAATATTATGTAATTCAAAACACATATATTTTAAATTTTACTTTCTTTAATTTCTGTAACACCATACCTATATAAATATTATGTAATCCAAAACCAACAGATTTAAAATTTCTATCAAATATTTATATAATAGAATTTTATTCCTAAATAATTCTTTTTCAAGTATTTTCCTTAATCTTTGTCACACCCTTTTCAATACCCTACCTAAATATTATTCAATCCAAAACTCATATATTTTAAATATTATGTAATACAAAATCCATATATTTATTTATTTCATTGAGTGAATGTGGTTGTTTTATTAATATTTTTGTATTATAAATATAAAACTGTTATGAGTATCAGATATTGAGGGCAAAAATGTAATATGCATAACTTTCAGACTTCAGCTTTTGTATATAACAAACAATCTTAATGAATTCAGCACTTAAAATTAAAATGTAATCAAACAGGTTTTCAAATTAATACATTTAGTGCTTAAAGTTTCAGCGGTTAAAATTCAGTACTTGAAATTTTCAGTGCTTAATTTTCAGTTTTATCAAACAGCACCTTAGTCTTAAAAGTCTTAAGATGCAGAGGGAGGCCCCCAAGATGATTTCTCACCCAAGTACGAGGAAGGCAAAGAAAAGTCATGATTCAGCCAATATGATAGTCAAATCGGTTGTCTCGAGTGACAACTATAGATTTGCATCGAAATCACCTTGCAATATCGCAAGGCAACTGAGAATACTTTGTTGAGTGAACTTACTGAAGACAAGAATTATATGGAGTCTTAAGGACCCTTTGGCTGAAAGATCTCCACTTTTCCGGCTTCAAGGACAGAAAGAGCAACTTGGAATAACTCAACAGCCTCATGTCAACGACATTAGTTAAATATCGTGAAAATAAAAGGCTTTAAAGGTCTTGTTTAATAGAGACTTTGGTTTGAGAATGACAAGGATGAAAAGCTTCATTTTTTTTTCATTTTTGAGATTAATTTGGGTAAAAGTTAGATTGCTGGGATAGTGTTGAAGCATTTTTTGCCATTTACAAGTATAATAAAATCATGTAATTTTATCGTAGTTTTTCGTGCTTCTATACATTCTGAACTAAACTGAACTAAACCGATGTATATAGAATGCATACTGACGTAGAACAAGAACAGCCTCAAATAGTTGAAAACAAATGAAAGCTTTGGGCTGAAAATTCAGATCTAGGCATCACACCTAGTGAAGGTCTCGCGCCCTCATATCTTGTGAATCACGCACCAAGAAATTTCATAAAGACATTTTTATTCATTCATTCACTCAATCAGACATTATACAACTGAGCAACCTCATCAAGTGCAGTGATGATTATAACACGAGCTTTCTACAGAATGAGCTTTTCCCTCAGATCCTTCAACTAGTCTGCAATAGAACCACCAGTGAACTCTATGGGATGTAAAATTATAGGATTAGTTTCTTCTGGCGGTCACCAATACACTACATGAGACAGAAGGGTAAAAGACTCTCAAGCCTTCATTCACCTCTTATTCCTCACTTCAGTTGTTCAGCAATGAAACAGATCTAGCGCCATTCTATGAAACACCCATGACACCCCAAGGAACAGCAGAATGCGTGATTGTTCTCTACCCACGTAGACTCTTCAAAAGAAGGCGAAATACCCATGCCGGACACACAATACTATAATATGTCTATAGGATATGTGTCCAACACTTTGGACACGTATCCAATCATTCAATTTTATTAAACAATATTTTACATGAAGACATTATTTACTCGACAAAGTAAAATAAAATATTAAATGGTATGAATATTTAGTAGTATCATGTGTCCTTCTATTTAGGAATTTGACACGTCCAATGTTCAGATACACACACCCATTACACATACCTGAATCCATGTAACATAGGCTATTTTGCAAAGCCACTGAATAAGGAGATGCACCATCAATGCTTTCCGTCTTCCTACAAGATGCACCACCACTTGGGAATGGACTTTTCCCTTGTAACCAAATTATCAATTCTCAGAATTCTCCAATGAGTTATTCCGCATTTCCACCAGAGATGCACCATTGACACTCTCCATCCTCCTTGGCAATGCAACACCACTTGGGAGTTAGGAATCAACTTTTGCCTCGCAATAAAACTATTAATTATCAGACTTTTTCAATGAGTTGTTCCACACTTCCAAGAAGGCCACCTTGGAGGGAAAACAACTTGATTTTCCAGATACCTTACCAAGAAAGTCTTAACTTTAAAGGACCCCTCAATTACCTCTAGAAAAATTTCACACCAAAAATTTGAGACTATTATTTCATCTCCACAACTTCTCCCCATCTTCACACTATACAGCCAGCTCAGAAACTCCACTGCGGCCTCAACCTCCTTGTTATTTATAAAATTATGGATCTAACATCCTAGTGCAGCAGTCTAACCCCATCAAGTCTAGGTAGCATGTTACTATTGCCTTTTATCATCAACTAGCTGAAACAACTGAGCTAAAGAATCCCTCAAAGAAATCTCTCCACAACATACATCAAATCAAAATTAGTTTTCTTATGTCCCCTACTAAGAACAAAATCCTTTAAGCAAACTCATTCACACTCACAATCACTTCTCAAACAAAGCCTGATTGAACGCCTTTAACTATCTCACTCCCAATACCAGTCACTCAAATCAGAGAAAAATAGCTTGCCTTTCTACAAGATATTTATACGTCTCTTTCACCCCTTCCTAAAGGAAATTACATTGCAATTTCTCCAACTTTTAAGCCATTGAGCCTGGGGGGTGGTGAAGACTGCTCTGAATTACATGGAAATACTAGAAAGGGTGCTCATGAATAAAGTCCACTTTGAGAGGTAATGCAACTTCAGCCACCCCATACAACTTTAGCTTTTTGAAAAGAGGAACCTAAAGGCAAGCCCATATAGGAGGACAAGAAGCAACTACAGGATCCCCTATGTCCTCCACTCTACCAACTCTCCATGTTGCCATCTCTACCAAAAAGGCACACTTGCAAATCGTATCTATGTTCCCTATATCTCCCCCTTTTTCCCCTAACACATCTGCAAATCCTTATATTGGTTTCATAACAACAACTATTTCACATGTAAAGCACCTCCATTATATAACAATACACGATGCTAAACTACAAATATTTTAGATCATATAAATTATTAAATATACAAACTTCTCTATCGTGTTGGATATCTATTATTCAGTTGATATTTACTGTAGTGGACTACTATTACAAGGGGAGACTTGTCCCACATCGGATCCAGATAGGAAAGTAATTGGGTATAAATGGGTGAGTATGCAACACTACTCAATAACTTAAGCTTTTGGGTAAATGGGCAAGTGCCCACCCGTTATAGTTGGTATCAAAACCAGACCAATCATTGATCCGGTGCCACGCCAAACACCCGGCCCGGAAGGCTTCCGGGTGAGACACCCGGGTAGGCAGGATGGCCTGACCGCAACGAGGGTGTTGCGAATTAGGATGGGGGAGAATGTTACAAGGGGAGACTTGTCTCACATTGGATCCGGATGGGAAAGCGATTGGGTATAAACGGGTGGGTATGCCACACTACTCAATAGCTTAAGTTTTTGGGTAAATAGGCAAACGCCCAGCCGTTACAATTACTATGACAGCCATGCATTTCCCTTTTAGACAATCTTAGATGTATTAGATGGTGTGCTTTTTCTAGTTGTGAATCCAACTTGTTCTCCTAGTCTCCAAATATTTCATTGATTTTTTCACTTTTTCCGAACTTTCTAGTGGCATTTCATTTGATACCATGATGTGGCACCAGGATTGAGTCGTCATAATAAAATACCTAGACTAAGACTTGAACCATGGCACTTACTCCAGGAATGAGCTACTTAAACAAAAAGTCGTTAACCATCCACTGCCTTATTCATGCTGGGTTCTACTCATTGGTTACATGTGTGCATTTAAACAATCACTTGCTTTTAAAAGCTTAGCTTGACAGGAAATGAGCCAAACTTTATAAAATAAATGGCTTAATGACATATAGACCCAATGAGATCATCATTAATAGAATAATTTGAGGTGGAAAAAATGTATAGAAATGTTAATATGGAATATGTGATATATGAATTTGTAATTGGCAATATTCGATGTCAAAACAAGTCCTAGTCGAGTTGTAATTCAAGTTACCATATCAGGATCGACATCGACTACGGAATAGAAAAGTTGTTCAGAAGACGAAATACTGGGATCATCGAAAAAGGAAAGAACAACACTACCTGTTTACTAACAGGAATAATTCCTGTTTTTTATTGCCAATTTCTAAAATGTAAAGTAAAAAGTAAAAATCATGTTTATTAATATAATTTTACTTTCTTACTTTTAGAAAGTACTTTCACATTTAATGAAGGAAGGAGAAAGTGAGGATTTGTTACTTTCTCTAATTCCTACACTGTACACAGAAAATACTTTCTACTTTTATTACTATAGCATTCACTCATCATCTTCGTATCATCCATTCTCACCCGACCATCACCCATCATCCACTCCCTCTCTATCATCATCTCATCCCACCCACCGGCGACGATGGAAGACACCACCCACCGGCGACAATAGAAGACACCACCCATCGGACTTTCCATCAATACTGCTCTCTCTCTATATATGTATCTGGACAAAGACAAGACGATGCTGACGAATTTCAGACCACCAGAATCGGAGTCTCTCTCTTTCTCTAAACCACTATAACTTTAAGTCTTTCTCTTTCTCTCAACCACTATAACTTGGAATCTTTGAATCGCAGTCCATTGTGTTTGCAATAGTTTGTTGGGGCTTTGTTTGGGTTTTCTGGGTTTTTTGTTGGGTCTTCTCTTTCTCTTTTTAAAACTCTCTCACTTTCATATCTCTCTCTGTAATCACTATAATCAAACCTAGATTAAGCCTTTTTTATTAGAGAGGGAGACCCAATTTGGGCATCGGAGAGGGAGACCCAAATTCGCACACAGTATATAAAGAAAGATTGACACTTATATACAGATGTATATATATATAGAAAGAGAGAGATATAGATGTTTGATGGGTTTGTTGGTTTTCTTTTCTTGTTGTTGGTATGTTCTTTTGAAATGGGCAAAGTGCTACTGATTTCCGAAAATAGAGAGATAACTTGCATACCTGTTATATTTGAGTTTCAGTCCAAAGCTTCAAATCAATGGAGTGAAGGGAAGCTTTGGGAAGTCTTATCAAGCAGGCTTTTGGGAGCGACTACTACTAGAGGGTAACTACTCGACGAATTTTGATGTCATTCCAAACCACAGCACAAGGACATTTAGAGAGAATTGCAGAGAATGATATTTGCAGAGAATGAGATGGGTTTTGGTGAGCAATTTTTGCAAAATCAAAATCATAATTACTGAACTTGATTTTTAATTTTTTACTTTCAAAATATTGAAAGCATAAATTATTATTGAACATGATTTTACTTTGTATTTCAACTTCAGAAATGAAAATTATGATTTTACTTTTGAAGAAAGTAAAAGTAAGAAAGTGAAAGCGTTAGTAAACGGGCCCTTAGGAAGTCGTTTCCCACTTAGGACACAATACCTACAAGGTATATTTTCCAAGTTACCAAAAACAGAATTTTCCATCTTCTGATTAAATTATGTTAAGTGGGAACCGGTACCACATTTGGGAACCGGTTCAAGAAGCTGTCCTTCAAAGAATTCTATTCTGTCCTTTGGGAACCGGTTCCACATCTAGCTACTGGTACCATTGTTGCTTCAGCTTTAGGTAACTTTGTCCTGATCAGTTTTAAACTTCCTATTTTGTTTAGAATGTTACCAAAAGTCCTATGCACGAAATTTTCTTTATTTTCAGAAGGATTAGATCTTTAAAAATTCTATATAAACCCTGATACATATCTAGGTTTAGTATGGCTTTTGCACTATCAATTCATAATTCATAAAAGCCCTAGGAAGATTTTATTTGCAGAAAATCCAAGATATTTCTCTTTCAGTCTTTCTAGAACACACACATAAACACATAGCGAGTTTAAGAGTATTGTTCAAATCCTGATCGTGATCATACAGTTGCAACTACAACGATCAGAGAAAAGCAAATCTACTTCTACATCGAATTCAAATATTGAAGAACAGAAGTAAAAACGATCACACTTTGAAAGGGTCAAAGCATTCGAGGAGTGTTGTTTGATCTACATGTTACTCTTTTACAAAGATCAAGCATAAGCCTGAGGTCAAGTTGCTGTTGGACGGGACGTCGCAAAGCCAGAGGATTGTTAGCTATTGGTATTTGGTAAAACGATAAGGTGTGAGCCAGAGTCAAAGTTCAGTGTACTTTGTTTCAAACATAGTGGATCGATTTACTTTGGACTGCACAGTCCACGAGGTTTTTCCCTCGGAAACAATTGACTTATTTTATCAACTGGGGTTTCCTCGCTAAAAATCTTGGTATCATCTCTAACTATTTACTTTGCTTTATTTTATCTTGCATGAGATTAATTATTTAATTGCTAAAATAAGTAAAGTTGGAAAGACACAGATATGTTTCTAAAAATACAAAATTTTCTAAATATTCCACTGCGTACAACTCACAGAATATACATCAAAAACTGACCAGGATCAAGAGGAAAGAATAGACCAAAAGGCTCCAGGTATTCATTAAGCTCCATCCATCCAATTCCAGGCTCAACAACCACATCCATGTCTTCAACATGTAATGATTTAATACTCTGCAATTTTAACAGTTAATGAAATGAAAATAAGGAGCAAAAAAATCCAAAATATGATAACGTAGATGACATAAGGGAACGATTTCAGGTGTAATTCTATTGCATTCATTCAAAGGTTCAGAGATTTTTCAATAATTATTCACACATTATGCTATAATGCAAGGATGATGATGATGATATCCATGCCATAATGCCTGATTGCCTATCCATAAACTATTTAGAACTCTATTTTTTCAATTTTTTACATTGAGAAAACATTTAGTTAATCTCATGCATAGCAAAAGACTAGACTAACTTAACTTTTAAATCCTGCACAGAAATGTTGGCTTAGCAGTACTCTAGAAACAGCAGCAGATAATTATATCATATCAAACATCATAACCCCAATGTAATTAACAGGGACAAAAAGGCAGCAGTACAGCAAAAAGATGGGCTTACACAAGCTTCATCACTAAAACAGAACCAGTAGGCCTCATCTAGTTGGCTCCAACAGTTTAAACATGGGACCAATGGGCCCAATAACGTGTACAGCACACAATGTATAGGACCTAATACGAGCATACTACTGAAACAAGGTAATGATACCAAACATAGCCAAACCCCATGCTAAGAATAAAAGATATTATAAAATAAATAAAATACAGTGACTTCTTAAATTTAAGCAAGAAAAGTGTGATTTGACAGCTAAAACAAAAGCAGGAATTTATTAAAATGAACAAATTAATTTTTACTGATTATAGGTGAAGGTCGTGTCATAATATTAAATATAAAATATATATATATATATATATATATATATATATATATATATATATATATATATATATATATATCTCATACCTTCATTAAAGTCATGTCAATGCAAACACCTCCATTGGGAGATAAGGTGTGACCCTCAATTGATGTAGCACCACCATATGGTACGATAGGAACCTGCCAATCAAATTACAGAAAGAAAACAAAAAAGTAAACTAAATGAAAAACTCAGTTTAGTACTCACTTAAGATTTGAGACGACTAGAATTCTATACAATAAACTGCTCAAGTAAATCAAGCAAATCAGTTGGATCATCAAATTTGATTATCTTTGTATTAAAATTCAGGCTATTTACATGAAAACCAATCCATGCTGGATATTATCCCAAAGATCAAGACTCAGTACATAACTGGGAAAGCAGTAACCGATTCAAAAGGAAGATTGAAATTTTAGAAATTAAAACTATAAAGATCTTAGAGAAACATGGAGAAATCAGGCAATCCTTATAAAGAAGGAGCTCAGACCTACAATTTGAAAGACAGTCCTCGCTTGATATGATAGCAAAGCTCAAGACTGGATAGATACATTGCAATTATTATCCAATTCAAATAAAAAATCAAATATTCTCAAGGCAGCAGCTATAAAATATTTATAAATGAAAAACAGAATGCGCAGAGAATCTTACAAATGAGTTGGATCATCATATTTGATTATCTTCGTATTAAAATTCAGACTATTTACATGAAAACCAATCCATGCTGGATATTATCCCAAAGATCAAGACTCAGTACATAACTGGGAAAGCAGTAACCGATTCAAAAGGAAGATCGAAATTTTAGAAATTAAAACTAGAAAGATCTTAGAGAAACATGGAGAAATCAGGCAATCCTTATAAAGAAGGAGCTCAGACCTACAATTTGAAAGACAGTCCTCGCTTGATATGATAGCAAAGCTCAAGACTGGATAGATACATTGTAATCATTATCCAATTCAAATAAAAAATCAAATATTCTCAAGGCAGCAGCAATAAAATATTTATAAATGAAAAACAGAATGCGCGGAAAATCTTACAAATGAAGAGCGCTGACCTTATGTTTGTCACAAGATTTGACTATCTTAGAAACTTCATCTGCAGACCTGCATGCACAAACTATAACTAATGGTGCATTACACAAAGATGGCTAGGATATATACTTAGTAGTGTTGACTGGACCAGAATAATGCATGCACAGAATGATGAATCCTATATACATAGTTTCAAGTTAGATGGTAGTTAATTGCAAAGCAACTAAAGCACTAAGTCGAGCCAAAGCGAAGCTGTGCAACATAAGGAGAGAACCTGATCGAATTAAAACCCATGTGTGATAGAAATGTATATACGATACCCTTATAACTGAAAAAAGTATATATACAATATGGAATACAAACTACTCAACATCAAAATGAAAGAATTTTTCTGCATATAGTTTGAGTTGGCAAGTTAAATTATACTAGTAGTAAATACCAGTTGACCACTAGATTCTAACTTAAATTATAAAGTTTAAATATTGAATAAAGAATAGTAACTAATAACACCTCCGCAACTGCAATCCCAAACAACACCACCCCCCCCCCCGGCGGGTTTTCCGCAGCCTCACCACTTAAATAACACCCTCCAAACCATTATCACCACCAAGCTACATTGCAGACAACAAATTGTGCACATGCTAGTACATGTACAGCCATCAGAAAACTAGCATTTTCAAAACCATATGAAACAGTAAGGGCCTGGTAACTTTAACCTGATTATCAGAATCAACAAGTTCAATTTGTAAATTTATGATTGTCAATACTGTTAGATATCTGACAAAACAGTAAGACGTCAAAAGCAAGTTAAGAAGTACTCAAAAGCAACATATGAAAATGCAAAACTAGAGAAAGCAAATGGTAAGCAAGTGGATAGAGTTTACAGGGTCAAGAATCTATCTCACCGTGGAAAAACAACCACATCAGGAATATTAACTGCTTTGTGAAAGCTGTTCTGTGGTTTCCCATGAAAGTATCTTTCATCATAATCCATTGTCACATTCTCCTGTATTAAAAACAATATCATAAACCATCCCCTGCAATATAACAACTTTTACAATAATATCCCTTCTTTCAACTCCAAAGTTCGAACAAAGAGTCAGGGCCGGCCTGAGATTCCCAAAATTTTGAGAGGCCTAGGCGAAATTTCAAATGCAAGGGTGAAATTTTCATTAAAATGATATGATAAGCACCAAGGGTGGCTCAAAATAATTTGGTGCCTTGGGCAAAAAAAATTAATAATATATTAATATTAAATAATATTTATTTAAAAATCATCCTTCTTATTTTGTAAAATGCAAAATTAATAATTAGATTTTTGTACTTAAGTTTGGTTAATATATAGAAATATATGATATATATATATACACACACACAAATTTATAATAATAAAAGTTAATTAAACTAAAAAATAATTAAAGAAAAATAACAATAGAATCTGATTTAGAAAACTCTAATCCAATGCTCCTACAAAGTCTTCAATATAAAAAAAAATGGGTTCAAATTGAGAGTAATGAGTATTGAGTGGAGAAGAAAGAGAACTATAAACTTGTAATGAGAAAGGAGGAAGACAACTTGTTGGGAGAGAATAGAAAATATGTGAAGAATCAGAAAAAGAAAAGAAAAAAAAATTTAAAATTAAAAGATAAAAGATAAAAGCTAGAAAAAAAATATATATGGAAAGATTCACCACTTTCCCAAAGAAGTGTTAAATACATATTTAATATTTACTGAGGGTATATCTTAACGAAAAAAGTAAAATTTAGTGTTGTAAAAATTGTGAATGAGAGAGAGCGAAAAAAAAAAAATTTATTTAAGAATATAAATATTTGGGACCAATATTAAGATTATGCGTGAGAAGAGAGAGGAAGAGATAGATAGAATAAAAAAATTAAAAAATTAAAACCAAAAAAAAAAAAAAGATAGAATAAAAAATAATAATAATAAGTGTAATTTAAGGATATAAATCTTTGAGGCCCAATATTTCTGTATTGGTTAGAGTTTAATTAAAAAAAAGAGAGAGAGAGAGAGAGAGAGAGAGAAAAGTGACCAAATAAAGTTATTTTAGGCTATAAATTAGTTTTTAATAATATTAGGAAATAATTATAATATAACTTATATAAGGAAATTTAAAATTTCGAGGCCCTTCCAAATTGGAGGCCCTAGGTGATGCCCATGGCGGCCCTCCAAAGAGTTAAGTAATGTTCTATTGCTGAGATTCCCAATGAACCAAGGCTGTGTTTGATATACTCAATAAATAGGAAAAAAAAAGAAAAGAAATAATAACAATGATAATGAGAACAAACAAAAGCAAGTAATAGACAGTGTTAACCTCTCAGCGTGTTTGGTTGATTAATGAAAGAAAAAAAAAAAGGCACTAACCTTATATTTCACTCCATTTTTGGAGAAATTATGGGGTAGATACTGACAATTTAGTACCCGGCCAAAGGTGAATTAATATTCTTCCAAGCTTTCCAAAGTAAAAAGTTACGGGTTCAAGTCCCACACACATACACAGGATTTACGTGACCAGACCCTGCCTACGTCCACACTGATGAGAAGAGATTCACTATGATTATGCCCCATAGGGGCAAGTGAGTTTGTGTGACCGTTTCTTGCCAAGGTTATATATAGGTGAAGTGAGAAAAACGAGCACACTAATCGCTTATCCTCCAAAAGTTATCCTCCAAAAGTTATTTTACTTGATGATAATATGTACTCCAAAAGTTATTTTACTTGATGATAAAATGTACTATACCCACACTGATGAGAAGAGATTCACTATGATTATGCCCCATAGGGGCAAGTGAGTTTGTGTGACCGTTTCTTGCCAAGGTTATCAAGTAAAATAACTTTTGAAGGATAAGCGATTAGTGTGCTCGTTTTCCTCACTTCACCTATCCAAAACAAACCCAACATAAAATCCCCCTCCAGATCATTATTCCCCTTTTCCTTTCTTTTCCATCGAAAAGGAACAAAACCTTTGAAACAGAAGGATCACAAGAGTACGAAACATATACCAGAAATTACGAAAGCTAAACATTAAAATTAAATGCTTGAAATGTCATACTGGACATATGGCCATCAAATCATCAATAAGCTCTTGTGGGACATCCTTGTGAGAACCCCTCACCAAATAGTCGGTGCTACCTTTGCCCCCAATGCTAACTTCTCTGGAAAAAATCCAACAAAATTAATCACCGTCAAACGATCCCGAATTTTCAAAGTAACCCATTAAACTTCTTGGGAAAAAGAAACATCGCTTCAAACGAATCTATTAAACTTTTCAATTTTCTCAGTATATTCAATAAAATGAAAAATTAATTTTTTTTTTTTTAAATCAATATAGAAATAAAAAATTAAAAAAATAAAGTGTGTTAAACTTATACCGGTGATCAAGATTGGAGGCATCACAAAATGATGGGTTATTCTGGGTTTCGAGGGCAAGCGAACCAGCGTAGACGGCGAAGGCCACTGGAACCAAAGAGCTTGCCCATGATAGGATTGGTGCATGTTTCTTGTCTGGGTTGAGAACCTCTCTAATGTTCGAATGAGTCCTGTGCTTGTAGAAAAACGAGTGTCGGAGATTATTGTAAACTGGTTTTGACGATGAACGTAAACGAGAGAACCAGGACGAAAACGCCATGGTTTAATCGAAAAAAAAGCCTTAGCCGTACAGATAAAAGAACCAGGAGTTGTGGTCATGTATATTGTGCGCGTTAGGGAAAATTCGTAAAATACACGATCCTGGAAAATTACCGTTTCATTGATGCCATGGATTGAAAAAAATAATAATTTATTTCCTTCCACCACCGTTATTAGCCTGATGTGCGAGGGTACATATGACTTGGATCTTTTATTTGTTAGCAACAACAAAATTATTTTAAATGTGAAAAGTCTGTAAAATCCTTATATTATAATAATGTAGAATGTTGAAAATTATAGAAATGCAATGACCACGAGGGTTTTTTTTTTTTTTTTTTTAACAACAATATATTCAACTACAAAAAAGAAAAGAACAATCAGGGAGAAAAGGAAAAGAACAATCAGGAGAAGAGTATTTAACAACGACAAGACCATATGCTCCACTCAACATCACTACATTCGACTATAAGAGCCTTTTTACTCAACACATAAGCCACAACATTTCCACGATGGGAAACCCAAGCAAAGGAATAACCTACACAATCCTTAAGGATAGAAAGGATATTATTGAAAATCACCATCAAACCATTAACCGAAGCTTGCAATCTCATCACAGGCATACAATCTCCTTCCACAACCACATTGTGATAACCCTAGTTTTTTAGAAGAATGAGCGATTCACGAAGAACAAGGCCTTCGGCCAGGGGCGGAAACAGGAATTTGGTTCAGGGGGCATGACAGCACTGACAAAATAAATTTTTTTCAAACATACCTAAAATATAATAGTGTAACAACAATGGAAGAAAAAATAAATAAGAAGAGAAAAAAGAAAAAGAAAGTTAATTGCACATAAATTATGCATGAGTGGAAGAAAAAATAAATTTTTAAGAAGAAAAAAGATTTTTTTAAGAAGAAAATGAAATAAAAAATGTATATATGAGAGAATTTTAAAGGAAAAAATAGACTTTAATTGTAGAAAGAGAATATAAAATTTTTTGAAGACGACAAAAAGAAATTTGAAGAATAATAAGGAAAAGGAATAAAGAATTAAAGACATTTTTAGAAATAGATAATTTTATGAGAGATAATTTTATAAATTTTATGGGGGTGTTTTATAAATATTTATAAATTATATGCATAAAATAAAATAAAATTTAATGGATTCAGGGGCAAAGGGGCCATTTTATTAATTTTAGGGGGGGCAATCTATCAATTTTTTCAAATTTATGTATAAAAAAAATAAAAAATTCTATTGGGGCAGCATGGGCAGGGGGGGCAGCTGCCCCCTCTGGGCACATGCTGCTTCCGCCCTTGCCTTCGGCTAACTGAGGGCTAAACACATGATCAAGAAAAACCGAGGCAACTTAAATGGGACGGCCTAAATGATTGTGAAAGATCATACCTCCTCCGCAGGTCCGCAAAGTATAATTAAACGCCGTATCAAAATTAAGCTTGAGGAAACTCGAAATAAGGAACTACGGGAGGAAGAGAAGAAGGGGGAAGGGAGAGCATCGATTCTTGCTAGGGATTTCCTTGAATTCCTGAAAATCAATGAAGGCTTTTTGAGCAGCCTCAAATAGATCCTGTCTTTTTCGCTGGAACACCAAATCGTTGCGGCATTTCCAAATTGTCCAACAAACAAAAGCAGTCAAACTAGAACTATCATTCGAATTATCCAATTTGTTCCAGGGAGCCAAAAGATTCACCCGTCATTTTGGCCAAAAGGTGGGAAAAAGACCACCAAGATTAATCCGAATAAGACACAATTTCCACACCAGACCAACAAAATGGGCATGTGCAAAAGAGGTGGTCCACTGTTTTAGCAAAATTCTCACAAAAAGGGCAGAATGAAAATTCAGAAGCTCCACGCTTATACAACATAGAATTCACGGGGATGCACTCATGAAGGCACTGCAATAGGAATAATTGAAATTTTTTTGGAACTTGAATAGACCAAACCTATTTCCACATAGATTCTCTAAGAGCATCAAAGCTACAACCCTTCTCTGAAAAAAAATTCGACTGAATGTTAAGAACCGAAAGAGCAGTATAGTAGGCACTTTTAACAGTAAAGTGTCCGTCCCTCGATGCACCCCAAACTTTACAATCATCTCTGCTAACCGAGCTTAAAGGAATCTGGAGAATGAGCTCCCGATCTCTAGTGTTAAAAATACGATTCACTAAATCAGACTTCCATTTATGGATGAGTGGTTGATAAGATCCGAAACCAAGGATAGGTTGATCCCTGAAGTTGACGATGTAATAGCAAAATTAGAGGTATCTGGGAGCCAATTATCCTTCCAACAATCAAACTCCAATCCATTACCAATACGCCATTTCATTCCTTTTTTGATAACCTCACGAGCCGAAAAAATACTCTTCCAGACCTAAGAAGCTCCAGACTTTGGAGAAGCGTCCACAAAGCTACAATTTTTAAAATACTTCTTTTTGAAAGATCAGAAAAGCAGATTATCATCCCTAGTCTCCATCTGCCAAGCCATCTTTGCAAGGAGGGCCAGATTGAAAGCTTCAACATTTTTAAAGCCCAGACCACCTTTATTCTTTAATTTACAGAGGTTGTCCCAACTGATCCATTTAATTTTGTTGGACTTATCTTCCCCACTCCACCAAAAATTGAGAAAATTACTTGTTAACCTCTGGCAGTTTTACTTCGGAAGCCGAAAACATTGCATAGCAAAGGTTGGAAGGTATGAGAGCACTAATTTCACCATCACTTCCCTGCCAGCTTTTGACATCGTAAGGCCTTTGAGAAGCTTAGTCTTGGATGAGACTCTCTCCAAAATGAAATTAAGCGCTGAAACTTTGGAACGGCCCAATAAGAAGGGGAGACCCAGGTATGTATTACACCAATCCACATTTTGAATCCCCGAAAAAAAACGAGAACTAGATCTTCGGGCAAGAGGAATATTTTGAGAAAAATAAATGCAATATTTATCAAGATTGATTAATTGACCTGTAACAGCTTCATATCGATCAAGGATGACTTTCATGTGTTTCGCCTCAAAGGCATTAGCTTTGCAAAATAAGAGGGCATCATCGGCGAAAAGAATGTGAGATATAGATGTGCAACCTCTACCCATCTTAAGACCCAAAATATGTTTTATTCAGGTAAACTCCTGAAATAACAGAGACATAGCTTCAAAACAAAAAAGAAAGAGATATGAGGAGAGAGGATCCCCTTGGCGAAGGCCTCTGGAAAGAGATAAACTATCTCTATTCTCGCCATTTAAAAAGACGGAATAAGAAACCGTAGAAATACATTTCATAATTTAATTCACCCATCTCAGATCAAATCCCAAATGGCTCATGAACTTGAGGATAAATGACCAGTTAACTCGATCGTAGGCCTTAGCCATGTCAAGTTTTAAAGCCATGAAACAAGAGTCACCATGCTTTTTGAACTTAAGAACATGTAGGAGATCATGTGCGAGAATTATATTATCATGGATGAGTCGTTGAAGAACGAAAGCACTCTGGGATTCATTGATAAGGAGAGGCTTGAGATGATTTGCAAGAGCCTTAGAGAAGAGCTTGTATGCAACATTACATAAAGTAATGGGACGAAACTGAGACATGGAAGTCGGATGAGGGACTTTATGAATCAGGACAATATAAGTAAAGTTAAGATTTTTGGGGAGAAAACCACCTTGGAGGAAAACATTAAAACCTAGAACAAGATCAGATTTGAGCGTCTCCCAATTGGACTGGAAAAAAAGGGGTGTGAAACCATCCGGACCAGGGGCCTTAAAAGGACCTATGCTGGCAAGGGCAAAATGGAGTCATTTAGTTGAACCCATCTTCAGGAGCTCACCATTTATCTCAGACGTGACTTTAGGAATAACCAAATCCCAAAAATCTGTGACATCTCGAGGAGGAGTAGAAGCAAAAAGGATTTGAAAATAGTCTTCCGCCACCCTTCGTCTATCATCTTTGGAGTCTTTCCATTCGCCAATAGAATCTTCAATACCAATGATTTCATTTTTTCGACACCGAATTTTTGTCCTCCGATGAAAGAATTTTGTATTTTGGTCGTCATGCTTTAACCAAGCAATTCGGGACTTCTGCAACCAATAAAGTTCATACTCTCGTCACGCATTCCCCAGTTTTTGTTCCAAGTTAAAACATTTAGCTCTATCAAAACCATGGACTTGTTCTTTGAGAAATTTCAACTTGGACTCTGACTCTTTAATTTTAACCGAAGCATTATTGTTTTTTCCCCATCTCCAAAACCTAAGATCAACTGAGCACTGCGTTAGTTTTTGAGAGATACCTTAGAGAGGAAAACCAACAAATGAAAGCGTCCAAACCTTGTCAACAATTGGTTTGAATTCCACATCTTTGACCCAACGAGCATCAAACTAAAATTTACGCTTGAAGTGAGAAATGGAATCATTCAGACATAGCAAAATGGCATGATGATCTGAACCTTGGACAGTAAGGTGATGCAGCATACAGTGAGGAAAGAAGCTAACCAGGGTGCAGAGGGCGCGATCCAATCTGGCCATGATAAGCTTACCTGAATCTCTATTATTCTGCCATGTGAATAGAAAACCTTTGAACCCAAGATCAAACAAGTTACAGTCTTCGAGAAAAAATTTGAAATTCTTGTGCATCCAACCTTGTTTCAAACGGCCCCCTTTTTTTCGGTTCTGTGAAGAACAGCGTTAAAATCGCCCATCAGCAGCCATTTTAGACCCAGTTAAGGTTGCAAACTATGAATATATCTCCATTGATAGGCACGCATTGTCTTAATACATGACCCATAAACACCGGTAAAATACCAAGGACAATTCCTTTTACCCCCAATCATTTTGCAGGTTATCTGGAAGTCGAAAAAATCGATGACAGATATTTGCCACTCTATGGAAAAGAAAAGAGCCAAACTCCCTGGTTTGCCTATAGACAGCACTTCAAAAACATCATATGAACCCAACAAAACTTTAACCTTATTCACACGATCCACCAAGTTTTTTGTTTCAAACAGAAAAATTAAAAGAGGGGAATGGATGTGCACTAACCTCCTCAATTGGGAAACTATTTGGGGGTTCCCCAAACCATGATAGTTCCATTCCAGAATGG